GAGTACGGAGGACAGAACAAACTGGTCAGCTATCCAGCTAAGCGCTGGCAGGGAAAATCTGGGCAGAGACTCTAAGGTGGACTATAGCAGCCAGCAGATTCCTGAGATTTCTTCGTGATTGGAGTGGTGGGATGATCGGTGAGGCTTAGGGGCAAATGGGTCACTAATTTGACAAGATGGCAGCTAACAGTCAAGGTCACTGGTGGACAAGAATGCTGTCAAGGCCTGAACCCTGGGCATGAACCAAGTCATTTCAAAGATTGATTGATTGGCCGGGGCCATTTTGCTCACCTGCCCCTGGCCTTTGGGAGGTGGTTTCTGTAATTGTGCTGATGAGAACTGGCTACTAGCGTCTCCCTTCCTGGAATTCCTGACCTGAGGCTATTCACTACTCTATATAAGAATTAGTTATTCCCAAATAAACTATAGTAATCATATTGGGGGACTCAGTGGGGAGGAGAGGGCATAGGAAATCCCAAGGCCAATGGAACTATATCATAAAATAATAAAAAAATTAAGTAAATGAAAAAAATTAAAATCACTAAAAAACAGTCCTCGACCTTCAGAAAATTACTGCTTGAGACCAAAGAAGACAAGATAGCACTAAAAATATACAAGCCTTTCCCGTTGAGGAATGCAGTTATGTGTCAAGTGCATGCCATTAACACTTAAGGTATAATTCATACATCTTAAAATCCACTCATGTACAGTTTGCTACAAATGCCAAAATGCCCACAACTTAAATGTATATAAATTTTTAAAATCCATTCAAGGGCACCCCCATCCACTGATTATCTCCCAGATGTACACAGTGCTGGGATAAGTCTAGGGTCAAAGCTGGGGACTGGAAAGCTAATCCAGGAAGCCCAAGTCGTAGGCCGGACCTAGTCCCTTAGCTCTGCCCTCCATGATCAGCATTAGCAAAGGGAATGGGGGCAGGAGTTGCAACTAAGAGTATTTAATTTGCCCACCTCAAGAAAGGTGGGGGGGGGGGGCCGGTGCGGTGGCACAGTGGTTAAGGTCCTCACCTTGCACGCCCGGGATCCCATATGGGCGCCGGTTCTAACCCCAGCAGCCCGGCTTCCCATCCAGCTCCCTGCCTGTGGCCCGGGAAAGCAGTAGAGGACGGCCCAAAGCTTTGGGACCATGCACCCGCGTGGGAGACCCGGAAGAGGCTCCTGGCTTCAACCGTTGTGCTCACTTGGGGAGTGAATCATCGGACGGAAGATCTTCCTCTCTGTAAATCCGCCTTTCCAATAAAAATAAAATAAATCTTTAAGATTTGGAGACAGACATTTGTCTGCTACCGCCCAGTGGCTGCCATGGCCGTGCCTACTTCAAGTGAAGAGCAAGAACTGTCCACAGGTCTTCCGAGTGGATACTGGGGCTCAGTCATTTGCCACCTGCACTGCTTTCCCAAGGACATTAGCAGGTGAAGTGATTCATTGCCCACGCAACATCTGAATTCCATGACCTATTACCATAGTCAGTAAACATTTTGATTACTCCATAAATAAGCTCCACACCCCTTAATCTTTTTTTTAATCTTTCATCTAGTGATTCACTCCCCAAGTGGCCATGACAACTGGAGCTGAGCTGATCAGGAGCTGGGAGATTCTTCCGGGTCTCCCACGAGGGTGTAGGGACCCAAGGATACTGCTTTCCCAGGCCATGAGCAGACAGCTGGATGTGGAGGGGGACCGCTGGGACTGGAATCTAGCACTTGTGTGGGATCCTGGCACATGAAAGGTGAGGATTTAATGCCACTAGGCCATTGTGCTTGGCGCTAATTTAACATGTTTTAACTCCTGCAAAGTTGGCATCCTGTACTGCAGCATTAGTTCACATCCAGGCTGCTGCACTTCCACCCAGTTCCCTGTTAATGTTGCTGGGAAGGCAGTGGAAGGATGGCCAAGTGGCTTGGGCCCCTGCACCTATGTGAAATCCCTGATGGAGTTATGGATTCTGGGCTTTGTCCCTGGCCCAGAACCGGCTGTTGTGGCCTTTTTGGGAATTGATCAGCAAATTTTTCACTGTTGACTTCAAAATAATAAAACATTAACAGTGAAAAAAACCCAAAGGTTAAATCACTTGCTGAATGTAAATTCCCTCAAAATTCTCTAATGTGATGGTCAAGCAATTCCTCTACACGCATTTTGTGTCTGAACTATTTCATAAAAAAAGAATAGTTTACCTCTATGAGTGACCTCAGCATTGTTAGTTGTGAAGCAGAATTACTATTGCAGGGCTTGGTGGCATGGCCTAGCGGCTAAAGTCCTTGCCTTGAACGTGCCGGGATCCCATATGGGCGCTGGTTCTAATCCCGGCAGCCCCACTTCCCTTCCAGCTCCCTGCTTGTGGCTTGGGAAAGCAGTTGAGGACGGCCCAAGGCTTTGGGACCCTGCACCCATGTGGTATACCTGGAAGAAGTTCCTGGCTCCTGGCTTTGGATCGGTGCAGCACTGGCCGTTGCAGCTCACTTGGGGAGTGAATCATCGGACGGAAGATCTTCCTCTCTGTCTCTCCTCCTCTCTGCATATTTGACTTCGTAATAAAAAATAAATAAGTCTTTAAAAAAAAAGAATTACTATTGTAGTCTGTATCAGATAGCATTTTTGGGTTCCTGTATTACATCATTGAACCATTCAAAGCAAATGGCCTTAAACTTACCTAACACTCAGTAAATAGCAAGTAAAATGACCTAAAATCTAAACTCATATTGTACTATTTTACCATCCTGCTAAAACAGAGCTACTTTTAACATGTTATTATTTTCATTTTTGTAATTCAATGTAATTTTCTGATTATAGCTAAAATGGGTTGGCAAATCCACCCGTAGTCTCCTTAAGTCACATCAAGAAAAAGAAATAAAATACGAGAACAATGAAAAAACCATGACAAGTTAGCAGCGGCTAGGACAGCAAAAACAGGAAGAATAGAAATCAAACAGGATAAATCCACACATAGCACACACACAGCTAAGAATCCAGAGTGCTGAACCATGCAGCATACAGACTGTGAGCAAACTTGGCACTACACATGACAGTCATTGAGAATCATCCTCTGACCCTGTGGTTATCTTCAAGTGGCAGTCAAACCAGTCAGCCTTTGTCCAGCCTCCCTGTACGCTCTGCCATCTCTGTCCTCTCTGGTTCTACAGCAGCCACAGGGTCCAGCTGCTTGTCAAGCACACTAACCTTCCCACAACCTGAAGTTCTTTAAATGACAACTTTCCTCTACCTGTGATGTCCTTCCTCAGTCACCTTGCTCCTGTGCAGTCCCCAAGGCAGGCCTGCCTTCTGTGCCACCCTAGTTCAAACAGCATCTACCTGATTTGTCGTCATTTCCATTCTCTACTGAGTTGCCCTTTTAAGGCACTTACCATTAACCTGCTTTTGAATGCTCCCCAACCTAAGGACTGAAATTTGTCATTATTGGTTTGTATTTCCTGTTGTCTGGAACAGAGAAAAATACAGTAATTACTTATAAGAAATACTTGTTTGAATGAACCAATAGAAACATTAGTAAATAATATAAAGGAAATTTCAATGAAAAGGCAGGAAAGAGGAACAAGAACATGGGAAATGGTTTAACCCGGATCTGAAAACTCCTCTCAGGGAGAGACCAGAAAACAAGGTTCATTGACTGAAAGAGAACAGAGAACTTGGGAGCTTGAATGACCAGACTCAGTCCTTTGCTTGGGATGTGCCCCTAAGTGCCTTAGTGCTCCCATCAAGTCCAGGCAGCCTGGTAGTCTTGAAACCATTGCAGATTAACAAGTCCTAGAACAAAACTTTGGATTTGACTAGCTCAGCCCAAAATATAATCAGTAGAGACTCACAGTCCATAATAGAAAGTGCTTTGTCCCTGAAATCCTTCTGCATTTCCTGGTAATCTATGGCAACTGTCACTTCAGTCTCAAAGAACTTTCATGCTGTACACACGACTGAATGTGGCCTCAGCCAACTTCCCAGGCTGCCATAGCACAGTACCATGGACCAGGGGACAGTTATTGTCTTACATTTCTGTGTTCTGGAAATGCATAAGTCCTGCCAGGCACCGATGTCATTCAGCTTTTTAAATTTATTTTATTGGAAAGGAAGAGCAGCACTCCCCAAATGCCTACTCTAGTCAGAATGAGCACGGCCAAAGTCAGGAACTCCATTATCCAGATGTCCCACATGGTGGCACCGACCAGGTACTGAGCCATCGTCTGCTGCTTCCCAGCATGCATGGAAGTAGAAAACTGGAAACGCTATGTAGCACAGGATGTGGGCACTGCAGCCAAGTGCGCCATCTTGCAGAATCACAATCCCCACCCAAGGGTTAAGTGTTTTAATGTTAACTGCTGGAAAGATATTGTACAGCTTTAATAAACACTTGCAATGAAGAAACTAACTATTCCCTACCTCCCAGTTAGCTTAATGGCTTCCACATATTTGGCCATGTTCCATGTTGCTACTTCAATTGTAACTGATCTCTAATATGCTGCTTCTCATGTTTTATCAAGAAGGATGGTTGTGATGTTGTTTACTAAAAGGAATGGGTATTATTCAGAATGCAATGGTCTCTGCCAGAGAACAGAGAAAGGAGCCTCAAGGCAGCATTATGTACGCACAAGCAGTGAGACACACCTCCATGTTGAGCCCGATGGTCCATCTGCTCCATTCTTTGAATGAAGGACCTGTGAATGCCAATGTTAGGCTTTGAAATAAGATGTGAGATAAAATCAGTCACTATGAATGAGAAACTAGAGCCCTGATTTACAGGTACTGAACAGGAATTTCATTTCCTACTATCCCAAACGCTGTCACTTTACTTGTACTTAAATATGTACAAGTTCAGCACAGATGCATGTTATTTGCAAACAGCTTCACTCCACAGTTAGCTGAACTTATGGATATAGAACCAGGGGATGATGAAGGGCTGTGTGTGCAAACTTTAACCCATAAAGGGCAAAATAAAAAACCAGATATAATTCTTACCTCTTAATGAGTTCACTTCTTATTCCAGGTTCATTCATGTAACTTTGCTTATTCTCCATAAACTAAATGTGTACGTCCAAAATTACAATGGGTAGACTTATCACAGGGAGTACAAATTAAAAGCTGCTCTTAAGCTCAGAGTTTAAAGAACAACTGAACAACAGCGAAAAAACTCAAGTTATCCCCAAAAATCCATCAAAATTTATCTTTCATCCTGCTCCTTTGTAAGTTACAATAAGTCAGCTCAGAGTACCTAGTGAGAAAGTTGAAAGGTGGCATTTGATTTCTTATTGAATAAGCAGACTCCAGAATCTAAACAGATAAAATGCAAAGACAGCAAATCAACTTGTGACAGGCCAGGAATACATGAATATTCAGGGTTCCACACTACTAAATAATGCTGCATTTCTTGATTTTATTCAAAACTCTGTATCTTTTTTTTTTTTTAGCATTTTATGATAGGATTTTACACTTGTCATTTACACAAATTACAAGGTTCTGCTTCAAGTCTTTAAAAAAATTTCTAAAAATTCAGCCCATGTGCAGCACAAGAATATGCAAAACTACTTTACATTATACACACTTTTTATCAAAGGAGATACAAAATTCTGGCTTGTAGTTTTAGACAAATACAAGAAGCTTCAACCTAGACACAAAGGATTAACATTAATTCTCAAATATAAGTCTGCACTTTGTGTTGTATTTCTCTGAGGCGTGAATATCAAATTCCTAAGAGATTTTGTTTTCCATTTTTAAGGAAAACTGAAAAATTTCCCATGAACACATCCTTAATCTTTTCACCATTCTATTGTTCCCTCCTTTAGTGCCAGACACTTGAGTTACTTAATAAAATCAGGAATGGGCCACTTAGAGGTTAACTCCTTTCCTGTGATGTGAATGAGTCTGCTGCATTTCCTTTAACATGATCGAACATGTGGTAATCTACCACTGCTGGCTAATCTGTTAAGGAGTGAGTCAAAGTCTCTCTCCGTGCACGTTTGCTTGCTGATAAATTCAGGGCCTTCAGAATCAAGCTGTCTGATGCTAAGGGAACTCTCAACTCAAAGTACAACTTGTCCACCAAATGCTCAAGGGACTTCTTTGATACTTGTGCATAGAAACTCTTGTCAGCATAGTGGAGGCAATATTCTATATTTTCTTTCTAAAGTTATGAAAAGGCAGTAGGAAGGATAGAGCTTTTTTGTATTTTTAAAAGATATTGTGTTCTATCACTGGCAGCCGTTTTTTTTTTTTTTTGCCTAACCATCTCCTGATGCCTAAAGATGTGTATGTACTTATATGCATATTTAAAGGAATTGTCCATCTTTCAGATTACAGCCAACTCTTGATTATCTATGAGAACGTAGGGACAACTAATATCAACAAATTTCACTCCAACATTATCATCCCTTTCAATTACATTTCAGTGTTTTATAGCTTCTAAAGACTAAAGCCAATCAAGGTCAAGCTATAACGCCAGTGCTGTTCACTTCCTTTAACTAATGCAGACCCATGATGTTATATAGATAACTGAGAGTTGACTGTAATGTTTATGACTTTAGCCCTTTTACATGAAAAAATTCACAAGAAAATATGATAAAAAAGACTGCCATGACATCTAGAAGCATTTATTTTATGCAAAAACCTTTAAATATGAATGTGTACATCAAATTGCACACATTACCTATGCTGAACAATGTCAAGAAACAAAATTTTGATGCCAACAGTTGTCTTTTAAAATAAACATTAAAACAGCCCAGACTGGCATACAAAAACCAGAACACTTATTCCTCAATAGCACGATGCTGAAACTTGGTAGGGAGCCTGATCACCTCTAACTTCCCTTTACAAAGCTGCCAAAGTCCAACCATTTTAAAAAATTGACTTTTTCTTTAATATCAGTAATAAAAATCTGGTGAGAAATATTATAAAACCAAATGCGGGGCAATCTTTACTCCTTAAAAATTCCAAATATTCCAACATAACTAGGAGTAAAAACTGTTTTAAAGTGAAACGCTTTAGGAAACAAACAAATATGTACACTTATTGCAAATTATATTAAACCTAAAATGGCGGTGAAATCAAAATATGAAGTGTTTACTACTTGCAAATCAATAATAATTTTAATTATTTTCTCACTCTGATAAAAATCAGAAAGAAACATTTATAAAATTGCCACCACGTCACTTTTCATAGCAGGGAACTGAAATTTGTACATCTCATTTTTGCAGAAAAGTAGGCAGGCAGAAAGAATTATACATAAAGTTTCCAAAAGGAAAAACAAAGAAATATTTCATTTGATTTCTCTTATTCTAAAAAATTACTTCAGTAGACTTCTATTTTTTCTTGTGTAACATGGGAATTCCTGGCTCTAAAATGGATGAATTTTCAGTGTCAGTATAAGGATATCTTGTTATTTTCTTTAAAATAAAAACTGCAGCATGGAAATTAATGGTGCATTATGCGTTTAAACTCCAGATATGCAGGAACTGGAACCAAATGTTAAGCAATTTGCTTAATTATTGACTTTTCCTAAGAAAAGTCTGAGGGGGGAGGGTATAACAGAGTGGCTTTTAGCCTCTCTCTCAAGAGTTTTTCCTGTACATTTCCATCAAAGGATTTGTGGTTATGTGAAAAGGAAGTCATAGTTTCTTTCAGTTTTCAAGGCAGAAAGTGTGTGTTCAGTGAACTTCATTCTCCAAGGTTTTGCAGAAGCTGGGTGGGGCCTGCTTCAGTTTGGCCTTCATTTTCTCTTTGCAAGTGACTTTTCTTTTTACCTTAGGAACAGGAATAGAACACAAAGTTAGAAAACCAAAACATAGTGATTTTACCTAATTCCTTAAAAAATTTTTTAAATGTTATTAACAGTTAAAAAAATTGTTCCTTAAGTTATATAACATAACATTAAGTTTTGGTTTTCGTATCTTAAAATTAAAATAAAACATAAGTGTATATTTTCACGTTAGACACCACAGTTTGTTATGAACTGCTACAACTATTACCACCATCCAGCCATCTTTAGGCAATGCTCCCAAGTGGAACTCTATACCCACCACAAACTCAGGCCAGTCTGCTAAGCTCCTGGCACTCAGCACTCTATTTCTTTCTTTTTTTTTTTTAAAGACTTATTTTTATTATGTTTTTATTGGAAAGGCGGATATACAGAGAGGAGAGACAGAGAGGAAGATCTTCTGTCTGATGATTCACTCCCCAAGTGAGCGCAACGGGCCGATGCTATGCCGATCCGAAGCCAGGAGCCTCTTCCGGGTCTCCCACGCGGGTGCAGGGTCCCAAAGCTTTGGGCCGTCCTCAACTGCTTTCCTGGGCCACAGCTGGACGGGAAGCGGGGCTGCCGGGATAGAACCGGCACCCATGTGGGATCCCAGGGGTGCAAGGCTAGGACCTTAACCACTGTGCCACCGCGCCGGGCCCAGCACTCTATTTCTTATATAAGAACTTGTCTACTGCAGGTACCTTCCCAGACAAAATTATTTAACAGTGGTCTCTATGGGTCAGCCTACCTCACAATTTCATCTGCTTTATCAACTAATTAAAAAAAAAACATTGAATTCTTTTATTGTACTAATCGATCAAATGCCCTAAAGTAAAAGTCTTTAACTTCCCTCTGGCTCTGACAAGCTGAGGGAAGCATGCTCTAAGAAATCAAGAACCTGGGGTCTGGCGCTGTAGTGAGGTGAAATTCCTTGCCTTGCATGCACTGGGATCCCATGTGGGCTGCTGGCTCATGTTCTGGGAGACACGCTTCCTACTCAACTCTCTTCTTGTGGCCTGGAAAAGCAGTCAAGGATGGCCCAAAGCCTGAGAACCCTGCACCCACATGTAGGACCTAGAAGAGGCTCCTGGTTCTTGGCTTTGGATCTGTTTAGTTCCAACCTTTGTGGCTACTTGAGGAGTGATTGAACAGATGAAGATCTTCCTCTATCTCAAGACATCTTAGAAGAAATCAACAACCTATCCAATCTGGGTGCTTCAGAATGGCAAGTGCTCAGCAGGGTGTCTTGAACCCTGAACAGTATTTGTCCAATCCATAACAGAGCAGACACAGGCAATTATGCTTTGGGATCTATGCACCAGATTTGCACTATCAATACTTTAATATGGATTCTCTGGAGTAAGTCACTTTTTTTGGAAGAGCTTGTTAGGATTCCAAGCACAGACCTAATCCTAGAGCTTAAGCGCAAAGCTGTATATCTGTTTTGTGAACAAGAAAAAAAAAAAAAAGACAAGTGGAGATAACAGAAAGTTTATGGACATACTTCTACATTTGGTTCACCACAAACTGACAGTCAACAAGCAAATGAGAAGTTTCTGAAATACTTGGATAAAATATTTGATCTACTCTAGATTTATGAGTGTATCATCTACATCTAGAGGTAACGATCCAATTTCACTGAGAATAAAAGACCATCACAGAATTCTGTATTTTGAACAGACTGCTGATGTACTAACTGGCATACCTAAGAAATGTAAGATGTCTTTTTACCTTTTTTTTTTTAAAAAACACTTATTTATATTTATCTGCAAGTTACAGGCAAAGAATCAAAGGAGAAAAAGAGATGATCTTCCACTTGCAGGCCGATTTCCCCAAACAGTCAAAATGGCTAGGTCAGAGCCAGGAGTTCCATCCAGGTTTCCCACACAAGTTGGAGGGGCTTACAGACTTGGCATCTTGTGCTGCTTCCCCAGATCATTAGCAGGGAATGGTTTATGATGCAGAGCAGCAGGACATGGTCCAGTGCCCACATGTGATGCTGGCAATGCAGGCCATGGCTTTTCCCACTAAGTCACAACAGCAACACTTACAGGAGACTTTGTAAGATGTTTAAGGTGGCTCAATACCACTATCAGCTCTTTTGGGTTTTATTTTATTTAATGATGTCGGGGCACACTATATAAACACAGGGTAATCACAGGGTAATGGGTTTTATCAGATGCACGAACTGACTGGTACTAAAAATGTTTTCAAGATTCAAATATATATTTAGATATCCTGGTTTAATAGCAGGCTGTTTTACAACGTTGCATGACAGAAAGTGGAAGGTGAGGTCATCTGGCTCAAAGGTGATAATTAGTACATTTTGTGTGACTGGAAATGGTTAATTTCAACTTTAAAAATAGGCAGGACTTTTGTCTGGCAATTGAAGTGCTAGAATCCCTTCTCGGGCCACATGGCAGACACTAGGAAGCAGCAGGGATAACTGGGTTCCTTTCACTCACCTGGAAGTGGACCGAGTTTACAGATCCAAACTTACAAGCATTTAAGGAAATGGACCAGTGGAATGAGAGCACTCCATATTTTTCTCATATCAAAACAAAACCAAAACATCTTTACAGAATTTCACAACTACCACGAAAACCACTAATTTTTCTGTGTTTGGAAAATGTTATTAACCTGCATAGGCCATTAGCAGGCCATTATTATCCAAAATAATGATAAAAATTATTAGGCCCTTATTGGATATGAAGCACAGTTCTAAATGTTATGTAGTTACTTAATTCTCAAAACAATCTTTTCTTGATTCGGAACTTCGTTTCCCATGTGTGTAGAAAGTAACTGGGCCCTTCGTTGTTGTTGCTCTACCAGCTGTCTTAACAGGGTACGGCACAAGGTGGAACAGCTGAGGGCGTTTTCATATGAGATTTAGATCGGTTACAATGCTGGCGCCTCAGAGCATTCCTTTAATGTAAGCACTATTAGATTTTCTTTCTGCTAATGAAGAGGAAACAGAGGATCCAAAGCAAAGGTCTAGGATTGGAAAGTTGGCTTTCTTTTTTCTTTTTTTAAAGATCATTTATGCTTATTGAAAGGGCAGATACATAGAAAGAAAGATCTTCTGTTTGCTGATTCACTCCCCCCCAAGTGGTTCAATGGCTGGAGCTGAGCTGAAGCCAGGAGGCTCCGTCAGGTCACCAATGTGGGTACCTAGGCTATAAGCAGGGAACTGGATGGGAAATGGAGCAACCAGGACTCGAACTGGCAACAATATGGGATGCCAGCACTTAAAAGTGGAGGATTAGCCAGTTGGGTTATAGTGCCGGCTCTGCCTAAGCTATTATCACAGTACAAACAAATTTCAAGAATTAGGATATTGTAGATAGTCATTCTTTAAAATTCTGCCTTAAAATTCTTACCTTAAAAATGGAAGTTGAAAATGCACATGGATTAAGTTATTCAGGATGCCTGCTGCATTATCAAAGTGTTCTTTACTGCGAACGCAGTTTCCGATATGGTGCACAGCAGGCAGTCTGTGATGGTCGTGATGCTCAGGTTACGGCTCTGGCCTAGCTAGCCCTGGCTGTTACAGGCACTAGGTGGTGGGGTGGTGCGCTGTAGAGTGTGTGTATGTAGGGCGGGGGATAGGCATCAAGTGGAAACTCTTTTCTTTGCCATTCTGCCTTTCAAATAAAATATGTAAAATGGAAACTATGAGATAGCAGAGAACACTATTCTAACCTTGGTAGGAAACCACGGGCACTTTTCACTCCCAAATAACCAGGTGGCTTGGTGGGTTGTGGTGGTGTTGGACATGTTAAGACAAAATGTCTAAACTGACACATCAGGAAAAGGATGTACAGTACCTTTGTAAGTCAATTTGTCTCTCTGTTGGTGTTGCCTTTTTGGTAACATCTTGCAATTTGGGTGCTTTGGCATTGCCTGCTTCCAACCCGCCTGGGCTCTCCTGACTGACAGCAGCTCTCTTCCTTCCTTTGCTGACAGGTTTGTTTAAATCATCATTTTTTGTTGCATTGCCCTGAGATTCAGACTTGGGTCGACGTCCTCTCCTGGGTTTCGACGGGGCAGGTGGGCCGGATTCACCCTCCTGGTCCTCGTGTTTTTGCTGGATGTTCTCGGCGCCAGCCGCCGTTACTGTCCTTTTCTTCCCCCGGTCACTGCTGATATTGCCCTGGGGAGCCGGATCAGAATTAATCTCCTAAAACAACAAAAAAATTCAATAAACACAAATTCCTTAAATTCATAAGAACCACTTGTATTAGACAAAAATTTTCATAATATGTTAAAGAAGTTGGGATTCCAAGACTTTTCATGAACTGTTTATATTCCTTAGGAAAGTATGTTCCTCGAGGACAGCCTCGTTGATGCCTCAACAGCACCTATGAACAATGTGTTCAGTACACGTCAGTTAATATCACCGAAAATCAAAAAAGTTTGGTTATGCTATCTTAATCTCATTCTAAAGGGAAACCTTTTTATTGGAAGCATATTCTAAATTTATCACTTTTTAAAAATTCATTGATTTGGGTATTTTTTATTGGAAAGGCAGTTACAGAGAGAATGAGAATCTTTTGCTGGATCATTCCCACACATGGGCACTGTGAACAGAGCTGAGCTGTTCTGCAGCCAGGAGCCAGGAGCTCGCCCACAGGTCTCTCACATGGGTGCAGGGTACTGAGGACTAGGGCCTCCCTTCATTGCTTTTACAGGCCATAAGCAGGAAGCTGGATTGAAAGTGGAACAGTCAATTCATGAACTGTTGCCCATATGGGATGCTGGCCTGCCTGGCTTACCCTACAACACAGCCCCAAACACAATGTATCACTATTTATAAAGAAGTATTTTCCTAATTAAAATGTATTTTTCTTTCTTCATAGAGGATGTAAGTATACACAATATCTGCTGTGCTATAACATACAGTTCTTTACTCATTGCATTCATTAAAACTTTCCTTTTCATATCATTCACTTTATATACACACACACATATTTTAAGATTTATTTATTTTTATTGGAAAGTCAGACAGAGAGGAAGCTCTTCCATCTGCTGATTCACTCCCCAAGTGGCTGGAACGGACATAGCTGAGCCAACCTGAAGCAAGGAGCCAGTAAACTCCTCCAGGTCTACCACGCCTCGACTGCTTTCCCAAGCCACAAGCAGGGAGCTGGATGGGAAGTGGGGTCCCCAGGATAGAAACTGGTGTTCATATGAGATCCGGGCGCATGCAAGGTGAGGACTTTAGTCAGCAGGCTATACTGCTAGGCCATACATTTCCTTTTTCAAAATAAATTCATCTAACATATTCTAACAAAATCTCACTTTACTACAACAGACACGAAGGACATCTGGAGACAGTTTTCAGAATTAGTGACCTTTATATGGAAGATATTAAGAAATATATTAAATTTAATTGACCCATAATTTTCATCCAAACACCTGTATCTTTTAAAATTAATTTTCACTTGTTCAAAAAAAATCTATTCATGATAAAGAGAGAAAAGAATTTACTTAAGCAAAAATTCAAAACAGAAAAGTAAGTGAGAAAATCCACAAATTGGCTTTCATTTTAATGTTAAACCTCACTGTGGAAAGATGCTGAGAGTCTGTTAACACACTCTTTAGGGCCAGCACTGAGGCAAAATAGACCTCAGTTCATGTCCCATTTATACTACTATGCACTGGTAATCCAACTCCCCGTTAGTGGCCTGGGAAAGGCAGCAGAGCATGGCATCAAATATTTGGAATGCTGCAACCCATGTGTGAGACCTGGAAGAAACCTCTGGTTTCTTGGATTTTGGATTCACCGAGCCCTGGGCATTGCGGCCATCAGGAATGTGCACCAGCAAATGGAAAAATCCCTCTCAGTCTCCATCTCTCTGTAATTCTTCCACATCAATAAATAATTTTTTTAAAGAACAGAAAATTTATTTTTAAGTAAGAAAATAAGACTATGGGCCCAGTGGTATGGCCTAGCAGCTCAAGTCCTCGCCTTGAACACGCCGGGATCCCATATGGGCACTGGTTCTAATCGCGGAAGCTCCACTTCCCATCCTGCTCCCTGCTTGTGGCCTGGGAAAGCAATTGAGGATGGCCCAAAGCCTTGGGACTCTGCACCCTCATGTGGGAGACCCGGAAGAAGTTCCTGGCTCCTGGCTTTGGATTGGCTCAGCACCGGCTGTTGCAGCTCACTTGGGGAGTGAATCATCGGATGGAAGATCTTCCTCTTTGTCTCTCCTCCTCTCTGTATATCTGACTTTCCAATAATAAATAAATAAATCTTAAAAATAATAATAATAGTACTATGTTGAGACTGTAAAGGGCTGACCACTCCAAAATAAGGTCTTAATTGTGCTATTACAGAAGTTAAAATTTTAGGCTGAGGCGGAAAACATTAACAAATTGCACTAGATAAGCAACTACATCCCAAAATGTATCACCTCTTAGAATACATTATAAATAAGTAAGAGTGTTGTATTATTTATTTTTATTTGTATGGCAGAATTACAGACAGTAAGATCTAATATTTGCTGGCTGACTCCATAAACAGCCACAAAAGCCAGAGCTGGGACAGGCTAAAGACAGGAGCTTTTTTTTTTTTTTAAGATTTATTTTAGTTTTATTGGAAAGGCGGATATACAGAGAGGAGAAACAGAGAGGAAGGTCTTCCATCCGATGATTCACTCCCCAAGTAAGCGCAACGGGCCAATGCTATGCTGATCCGAAGCCAGGAGCCTCTTCTGGGTCTCCCACGTGGGTACAGGGTCCCAAAGCTTTGGGCCATCCTCCCCTGCTTTCCCAGGCCACAGGCAGGGAGCTGGATGGGAAGCGGGGCTGCCGGGATTAGAACCGGCGCCCATATGGGATCCCGGGGGTGCAAGGCTAGGATCTTAACCACTGTGCCACCGCGCCAGGCCCAAGCCAGGAGCTTTGTCCAGATCCCGTAACGGGGTGGCAGGAGGCATTTCTTTCACCAGGGCAGGAACTGGGAGATTTACTTGGAAACAGAGCTGCCGGACATGAAGCAGTGCAGGCACCACACAGTGATGAATTCTAGGCAAGGATCCCATGTATTTCCAGGTATTGCTTTGAAGATATGAAATTATTTATACTTAAGCAGAGAGAACACACTCCTCCAAGTGCCTGGTTCACCTTAAAAAGGCCTGTAACATGCTCCAACTGGGGCCACAGGCGGCTGTTGGAAACTCAATGCATATATGGCACATGGGTGGCAGTAACCAAATTACTTGAGCCACCATCAGTGTCCCCAAGATATGTATTAATACATCCAAGACTGCTTCTCAGGCCCTCCAGGATGGGCAGATGTACCTGTCCTAAGCAGTGCCCTGTACACTAAACCTGCTGCCTGCCTTCTCCAAACCAACAGCAGACTTGAATACAAATAACAAAGAGTATGGCTAGAAAGAAACCAGAAAATTCACCTTTATCAGTTTCAGTGCAGGAAATGAATTTGGAAAAATATTTAAGCTATAATAAAATAACCATATCTTATGTACCTCATAGTAAGAATAAAAAATTCGATGACAACCACAAATACACGATGAGCAAAAAAAGCCAAGCATGTTAAGAATACTGTTCTATGGGAAAAGATATCTAATAGTAGTGGCAGGCCATTATTGCAGATAAAGGTTACCAATCTATTGCTGATAGAAAAATAATTTAAGTTAGATAACACAGTTGAACAGCTGGCAGTAAATAACTACACTTTCAACTGAGTTTCTTGGTAATGCACCTGGGAACGCAGTGTAAGAAGGCCCCCGTCCTTGGGCTCTTGCACCCATGTGGGAGACCTGGAAGAAGCTCCTAGCTGCTGACCTTTAACTGGCTCAGCTCTGGCCTTTGCAGCCATCTGGGTACTGAACCAGAGGATACTACCATCTCTGTCTATGCTTTTTTCTCAATCTATTAATTCTAGCCTTTGAAGCAAAGAAAGACAAGAAACAAACAAACAAACAAAAAAAGTTTAAAGTGAAGAATGTGGCTGTGAGGGTGGGCGATTGTTACAACAATAAAGACACTGGCTGGGATGCCTCCTTTCCATATGGGAGTGCTTTGGTTCCCATCAAGTCTGTGGTTCCTGCTCCTGTGCACCCTGGAAAGCAGATGATGTCACAAGTGCTTGAGTCCTGGCCAAGAAGAATGAGCTCCAATTCAGCCTGGCCCTGATGCAGGCATTTATGGGGCAAATCAGCAGATGGAAAATCTGTCTCCTTCAAATAGTACAAATATTCATGAATCTAACAGAAACAACAGCGTTCTTGGTGACATATAGCTGTAATTGTTAAAATTCCAGAAGTTCTTGGTTCCTACTCTTTCAAGCTATTGAGAAAGTCAATATCATAGAAGGACACAATTAGGAGTGACTAATTTTATAATATTATTATTAAAGGAAGCATGTAGATACAGGAGAAACACAACTAGAGAACAGACACAGAGTTACAGGCAGTGGTATATACACACATAGGAAACACAGTTTGTTGTTGTTTCTGACTTTCTTAAGTGTTTCAGTATAAAGGTGTTGCAGATAAAGGTGTTGCCCCTGGTGCCAGCATCCCATATGGCAAAAGAGACTAGCAAAGCAGTGGAAGATGGCTCAAGCCCTTGCATTTCTGCATCCACATGGGAGATCCAGAAGAAGCTCCTGGCTTCGGTCTTTACACTGGCCCAGCTCTGAAGGTTGGGGGATGAAATAACAGATGGAAAACTTACTTTTCGTTTGTAAGAAAGATTTACAGAGAGTGAAGGAGAGACAGAGACAGAGCTCTTCCATTGCTGGTTCAGACTGCAGCAAGCTGCCTGGAGCTTTTTACAGCGCTCCCACTTGGGGGCAGGGGGCCAAGCACTTGAGTTGCCTGCCACTATTTTCCCAGGTACGTTACCCAAGAACTTGATTGGAAGGGGGTAGCCAGCACTCCATTCAGCGCCCACATGGGATGCTGGCATCTCAAGCAGAGGTTTAACTTACCATGGGGCCTGCATCTCTGTCTCCTTTGAAATCTGCCTTTCAAATAATTAAATATTCCAATTTATTTGAATGGCAGAATTACAGAGAGGGAAACACAAAGGGAAACACAGATCTTATATCTGATGTTTCACACCCCAATGGCCACAACAGCCAACACTGGGAAACTGAGAAGTCAGAAGCCAGGAGCATCGTCTAGGTCATCTGAACACGTCGGCCATCTTGTTGCTTTCTCAAGCACGTTATCAGGGAGCTAGACAGAAAAGTGGAGCCACTGGGGCCTGTATGAGATACAACATGAGAAATGGTATCTTCACCCTCTATGTCACAACAACAGGGACAGTTTCCAAACTCCTGCTATGAAGTTGTAATTTCATGGCAAAAATATATTTAGGTAGTAATATTTACCTTATTCTTCACCGGTTCAACATTCTTTACAGGAGTAACAGAAATAATTCTCACAGGGTTCTCCTCATTTTCACTAATGCCAGTTTCTCCAGACTCTGAACTCTGCTCCCTGTTGTAGAAAAATAAATCCTGGCTAATTATTTTTTGACATGAATAGAAAGTTCATTCTGCTATTGTAACAATAAGGAAAGTCCTATTTTGCCATAGAAATCTTGCCAAGTGATCCAGTGACAGCAAGAAACAGATCACCGATGGTTAAAGATTACCGCCTTTTTATATCATAATATTGATTGCCATAGAAGACAGAATTTACTGCCTATAAATCATCTAATGAAAAAGATTGGGAAGAAAGAAAGAAACAAGAACTAACCTCAATCTCGGGGACAGAAAACCCTAAAACAAAAATAAAACTACAAATCATGGCAGAGTAATTTCCTGTGGAGTCTTGTCACACGAGGGAGGCGGTTGTAGGAAAATGCATTGTGCACTGTAGTAACTTCATTAAAGTAAAAGGAAAAAATCCCAATTCAATTTAAAACACTGTATTTTCAGGCTTTCTAAGCTCTGAGTCTTCTGCGGTATGTAAAAATCAACATTTCCACATAATTAGTTATATCAGAAATTCTTGTTGCCCCAATTACCTTTTCGATACACTAAGAATGCAATATAGTTTCAGAATGCGTAACATTCTGGGTTCTCATCACAAAAAAAAATACTGAAATTAAACAGAAAGGTTCATTTTACAATATACTGATCTGAGGAATAAATTGAAACACAAACCAAGTAGAGATTAAATAAAGCAGATTGTAGAAAAATAAAAAAGCAAGTAAGACAAAAAACAGCAATTGACCTTGATCGATTTCCGGTTGCAGCATTCAGCTCTGAATTTACATTAATATTACTTCCACCCTCAGTGCCAGTGCTTCTTACATAAGGCTTCCTTCCCGTTGCTGATAAAGGCTTGTTTACTGCACCAAGTACTCCTGTAGGCTTTGGCTAAAAATGACACACACGTTATTTTATATCTTACTTAAAGGAACACATATAATAGACACAAGTAAGAAATACAATTTAGCTTAAGGTAAAAAAAAAATCTGTTACAAACTTAAGTGCATTAGAACTCTCTCATCTTAATACATTTCAGTCATCAGCATCACTGCTACCTAATAACAGCTAAGGCAATAGTTCTCATTCCTTGCTGCTCAATCAAAAAGTGCCTCTAAAGAAAATGGATAATGATTTAGAAACAACTTGTTAAATATACAAAGAAATAATTTAGAGATTACGTTAGAAACGGTTGCTATCTTAGTATTCAAGATTGCAACACAACAACTTAATGGAATATAAATTATCTAACTATCTAATTATCATTAGTCTTTTAAAACTATTGTTTGCAACTTATTTACAGCATTAATCAGGTAAATTTGAAGTTAAAGTTTGGCCCACATGTGCTGTGGGTGCAGGGTCTGTGAGTCCCACAGGTGGGGGTTCCGTTGGAGCCTGGCCTGGTGGGCTCGCCAGTGCAGTGGGTGCCAACTTGTGAGCCCTGGGGGCAGGATTCTGGCAGGGGCCAGGTTGCCTATCCCAGGTCTTTGGGCACGCCTGCAAGAATTGGTTCTCCCCACTGCAAAAACATAGTAGTAGAAAGCTGGCCCAGATCCACATAGAGGAAATATCAGCACATTGGGGCCTGCAGAGGTCACCTGGGACGACAGCAGAGGAAGGAGAGCAGAACAAATTGAACAACTACCACAGCCAAATGATGACAGCAAAAATCTAAGCGAATGGAGATTCCAAGGTTGACAATGCGAACCAATGGACACTGGAAGGTTCCCTCATCCTTGGACTAGTGAGAGGGACAGCATTTGTAACTACTGCAACCACCTGGGCAGAAGCCTCAGAGTGTGTGCCACATCAGGACCCTGGGCTAATATCAGGAGTCCGTTCCCTATGACCAAGTACTGGGGTAGCTGGGGAGCTAAGCTGGGTATGGCTTCTTCCCTTAGCTTCCCACTTCTCCCAAAAAGAAGAAAAAATAGAAAATCTGGAAACAATGATCACATCTACTTTTCCCTAACCCTTATCCTTCCTACCCTGATCAACTATGTGAATATCTAAATTTTTCTTTAAAAATTGAAGTTTGATATTAATAATAAGAATAAATAATAGAAAAATCAGAACAACAACTTGTGGCAGAAAAAAAGCCTGAGATAACACGAGATGTCAGAAATGCACAAACATAATCTCTGGAAATCAAAAAGTAGTATGTCCAAGAAAAGGAGATAATAATATAAAATAATGATCACAAAATACTCATGCCCATAATATACCTTTCCGGTTAGCAGTAGTACTCTTGTCTCTTCTGATATATAGCTCTTGTCATTAGCAAAATCCTATTTTAAAAAAGAAACAAAGCAGTGAACAGGTCTATTTTTACTGCCCAACAAAGCTTTATGTGGCATTGTTCCTTCCAATAACTATTGCAGAAGCCAACGGGGATAGGATCCAACTTGGGATACCTACAAGCTGTAACAGGGCATCTGGGTTTGTACTTCTCTAAGGCTCACCCTGGCAGGCAGCACATGATGGCACAAGGATTTGCGTACTGTGGCTCAGTTGGGATTTCTAGATGAAGTTCCTCACTCTTGGCTTTGCCATGTCACAGCTGTTTTGGGAATACACTGTACGTATTTGAAGAGTGAATTCTGAACTAGCAAGTGGAAAATTTCCTGGTATCTCTGACTTTCAAATAAATGGGAAAAAGTCAACCAAAAGTGTGGGGGGCTGGTGTTACGGTGCAACAGGTTGCTGCTGAATAAAATGTTGGCATCCCACAGATACAGGTTCAGATTCCCATTGGTCTGCTTCCAATTACTTCCCAGTTCAAAAGCGTGGCAAAGCAGTGAAAGCTGGCTGAAGTGCCTGCACTCCTGGGAGCCATATGGGAGACCTGGAGGAATTCCAGGATCCTGGTTTAAGTCTGGCACAGTCCTGCCTGTTGTAGCCATTGGAGAGCGAACCAGCCAACAGAAGACTTTTCACACACACTCTGTAATCTGAAACCTTAAAATGCATAAATATATATTTTTAAGATTTATTTATTTCCATTGCAAAGTCAGATATAGAGAGAGGACGAGAGACAAGAGAAACATCCTCCATCCGATGATTTATTCCCTGAATGACCGCAATGGCCAGTGCCATGCTGATCTGAAGCCAGGAGCCAGGAACCTGTTCTAGGTCTGCCACGCAGGTGAAGGATCCCAAGGTTTTGGGCAGTCCAAAATCGCTTTCCCAGGCCACAAGTAGGAAGCTGGATGGGAAGTGGGGCCGCCGAACAGAACCGGTGCCCATATGGGATCCTGGTGAATCCAAGGTGAGGATCTCAGCTGCCAGGCCATGGTGCCAGACCCCATAAATCAAGTTTGAAAGTAAAAATCCAATCACATTTGTGATAATGCATTTAATAAACTTAATCATGTCGTTTTAAATTTTATCAATGGAAAATAATATAGCCGAATGTCTTAAGTTTACTAACTTTAAGTAAAGCACATTTCTATTTTTCATGTTGTTCACTGCAAACATTTATTCACAAAAACTTACCTCCCTCACTGTATCTTTTTTTTTTAAGGTTCATTTATTTTTATTGGAATGGCGGATATATAGAAAAGTGGAGAGACAGAGAGGAAGATCTTCTGTCAGATGGGTCACTACCCAAGCAGCTGCAACAGCTGCAGCTGAGCCAATCCGAAGCTAGGAGCCAGCACTTCTTCAAGGTCTCCCACGCAGGTGCAGGGTCCCAAGGCTTTGGGCCTTTTCAACTGCTTTCCCAGGCCACAGGCAGGAAACTTGATGGGAACCTGGGGCTGCTGGGATTAGAACCGGTGCCCTTATGGGATACTGGTGCATGCAAGGAGAGGACGTTGCCCATTATGCTATCATGCCGGGCCCATCTCCTCACTGCATCTTAAAACTACTTTTTGGCTGTCAAAGGCTCAAATGTGATACTGTGTGTATTTCATGCACTTAATGTTAACTAAAGCAATTCCACAATAGGTAAAGAAAACTGCCCTCTCTGAAAACCAAATCAATTATCCTTTATTTTTTAAAAACATTTATTTATTTTTATTGGAAACTCAGATTTACAGAGAAAAGGAAACAGAGAGAAAGATGTTCCGTCTCCTGATTCACTCTCTAAGTGGCCGCACAGACCTGACTTGAGCCAATGCAAAACAAGGAGCCAGGAGCCAGGAGCCAGCACTGCGTCTCCCACATGAGTAGGGGGTCCCAAAGCTTTGGGCTGTCTTCTACTGCTTTTCCAGGCCACAAGCCAGGAGCCGGAAGGGAAGTAGAGTATCTGGGATGCAAGCTGGCACCAATATTGGATTTTCGTAGGCGCAAGGCTGGGATTTAGCCACTAGGCTTGTGTACAAGGCCCATATCCGTTAAATCTCATTAAAGCTGTCTTCACATGGATATCCCAGGACTGGCCAAATGGTCTTAAGCACGTCATGGAGAAAATTTCACTTATGTCAAATGTGATACTCAAATATATGTCATTTTTTGGGCCCGGCGCGGTGACGCAAGTGGTTAAGGTCCTCGCCTTGCACGCCTGAGATCCCATATGGGCACCGGTTCTGATCTCGGCAGCCACGCTCCCCTTCCAGCTCCCTGCCTGTGGCCCGGGAAAGCAGGGGAGGACGGCCCAAAGCTTTGGGACCCTGCATCCGCGTGGGAGACCTGGAAGAGGCTCCTGGCTTCGGATCGGCATAGCACTGGCCATTGCGCTCACTTGGGGAGTGAATCATCGGATGGAAGATCTTCCTCTCTGTCTCTCCTCTGTATATCCGCCTTTCCAATGAAAAAATAATAAAAATAAATCTTTAAAAAAAATGTCATTTTTCATACAAAGGCTTCAAAATTGTGCCTAAAATAGCTGTTGCAATGTCTTGGCATCAATGCTTACTTACTATTTACAAAGAAAGACTCCAGCCTCTCTGGGATCACTAAGAGTTTCTTTATGATTGCAATTACAATAAATCAAAATAAACACATTAGAGAAAGGAATGAGCAAAATTATATATCCAAAAATTGTTTATGTCCTCTGTCTGGCAGCTGCAGTCACACAGAGTGTGAACCAATTGATGGAACATCCTTCTCCGTTTCTCCTTTCTGTAAATCTACCTTTCCAATAAAAATAAATTATTCTGGGCCTGGCCGGGTGGCCTAGCAGCTAGAGTCCTTGCCTTGAATGCGCTGGGATCTCATATGGCCGCCGGTTCTAATTTCGGCAGCTCCATTTCCCATCCAGCTCCCTACCTGTGGCCTGGGAAAGCAGTTGAGGACGGCCCAAAGTCCTGGGACCCTGCACCCGTGTGGGAGACCCGGAAGAGGTTCCAGGTTCCCAGCTTCGGATCGGCGCAGCACTGGCCACTGCGGCCACTTGGGGAGTGAATCACTGAACGGCAGATCTTCCTCTCTGTCTCTCCTCCAATCTGTATATCTGCCTGTGTAATAAAAATAATTAAATACTTAAAAAAAACCCCAAATCTAAAAAAGAAAAGAAGTTGGGTCCATTGCGATAGCCTAGTAGCCAAACTGTACCCTTTTCACACACTGGGATTCTATATGTGCGCCAGTTCATGTGCCAGCAGCCCCTCTTCCCCTCCAGCTCCCTGACTCTGCCCTGGGAATCCCATGCAGGGCAGCCCAAAGCCTTTGGTCCCTGAAACCATGTGCGAGACCCGAAAGAAAGTCGTGGCTCCTGGCTTTGGATTGGCTGTTGAGACCACTTGGGGAGTCAATCAGCGAACTGTAGATCTTTCTCTCTGTCTCTCTTCCTCTCTGTATATCAGACTTTCAATAAAAATAAATAAATCTTTTTTTTTAAAATCCATATTTCGAAGCTGATTAAAAGCCCAAATCACAAATATGCAAGGAAAAACCACTAATTGAGACCAGTTAAAGAGTGCTGTCAAATCCTTAGGTCCATTTCTGAGGCCCATGATTCAACAGCAAAAAACAGCTCCCTTCGCCAGGTTCCTCATATGCCTCAGGGTTAGACAGACAGGAGAAATGAGCTAAGGTTAGGCCTCCTAATTCCTGGAACCTCACCATTGGATCTGGATTGTTAAGAACCTGGATTTAGGTCCCAGATCTGAGAACAGAATCTAGATACAGCAGTACAGGAGATGGGCAGTTTCATCACTACAGTAAACATTTATCCTATCACCTATTTTTTTTTCTTAATGTAAGACACAGAAAGAGAAAGGATACGTTAAAAGCCATGTGTGAATCTAATTTTCTTTCCAAAAGGTTTACTTATTCTTCTGAATGACAGAGAAGTGGGGGAAGAGATCGAGAGAGACAGAGAGAGGTAGTGAATAAGAGATCTACAGAGACCTTCTATCTGCTGATTCACTCCTCCACCTCCCCGAACTCGAGCTGCTATGGTGTGAACTGAGCCATTCCAAAGCTGGGAACCAGAAGCTTTTTCTGGGACACCAGCACGGGTGCAGGGCCCAAAGGTTTAGCACATCTACCACTGCTTTCCCAAGCCATTATCTGTGAGCTGGTTCAGAACTGATGCAGCTGGGACATGAACTGGGACGAACACGGGATGCCGGCCCTGCAAGTGGAGGATAAGCACGTACAGCCACCATGTGTCCGAGCAGCAGGGTTGGGCATCTTTCCCTCGAGCACTAGACTCCAGTCCCTGGGAGGCAGCAGGGATGACCTGTGTTAACAGGTTCCTGTTATCTATGAAAAGAACACAGACTGAGTTCGTGGCTCTCATCTTTAATCTTAGCTCATACAGAAAACAGAGACTGAACCAGAAGAGAGCTCTCTCTGTGTTAACAAACTTTGTAAAAAAAAAAACACATTTATTTATTTTCCCTGGAAAGGCAGATTTACAAAGAGAGAAAGATTTTCCACCTGCTGGTTCACTCTCCAAATGGCTGCAAAGGCAAGAGTCAAGCCAATCTGAAGCCAGGAGTCAGGAGGCTCCTTTGGGTTGCCCAACACCAGGTGCAGGGTTGCGAGCTTTGGGTCATCCTCTACTGTTTTCCCAGGACACAAGCAGGGAGCTGGATGCAAGCAAAGTGGAGCAGCTGGGATATGAACCAGTGCCCATACTGGCATAGGCAGGGCGAGGACATAATCATTAGGCTATCACGCAGATTCCTAGCTTAGCAAATTCTTTCAAATTTCTGAAAATCAGACTTCAAATCATTAAGTGTTGACAAGAATATTAAGAACAACAAAAAGATGATTTATTTGCTGTTCATGTGAGAACGATGATGTTTAGGGCTCTGGGGAAAAAAAAAACTTTCCATTCCTCAAAATCTGGCACTAGCATTGATGGTACCATAAACTTAAGTTGGTTTGCTGTGGTTAAAATCAAAAGGAAGGATGAAAAATTACCTTTTCAGGCTGTGTAAAAAATTTCATTGGGAGGACTGGATCCTTTGGTGAATCTGCATTGCACAAAGCACTTTTACTATTTATAACACACAGAGCCACATCACATACTGTGTAAAGTTTCTAGGAAGAAAAAAAGAGAAAGATGCTAGATAACCCTCATTTTTGCAAAACACAATTACCAACAATTCCATCAAATTCATAAATTGAAGGAAGCATATGTGGTTTCTTCATTATGTCATATTACCGTTTACCATTGCTTTTTTTGTGGCCTCTTGGTAAAGAAAAAGCCCTCCACATTTGTGTAAAATCCAGGTCAACCATGCAACAGAACTAACTCAACTCATATCAAAGACAGTACGCTAAAAGCATATCTTAATAACACTATATACAACAAAATCACACATTTTATTAGTTCTGATACATCTGTTCGCCTCAAGTTTGAGCATTTTTTAATATTAAAAATTCAGACATTAAAATTTATTTGTAATGAGATACAATAAAACTGAAAAATATTTTGTAAGCATTATGCAATGGTGAGGAAAAACAAGAGGAATAATACATTTTTCTACATTATCCTAACGTGCAAAGGAATAACACTCTTACCTCATTTGTCTTGGATTCATCTGGAGACTGAGCATCTCTGGTTAACTTGATATTTTCAGCCATCTTCTTCATAAAGGCATGGCTATTGTTTTCATTCTTTGTCATTAAAACCTCAAGCATGAACCATAGGCACCTATATAGTAAACATTAGAGTAAATATGGGAGCTTCTGCTTAATGAAACAGGTCACTGAAATTCAAGTTATCTGAATGTAAGGAAAACCTGAATTACTAACAGAAATGTACTTTTGTGTTAAAGATATTCACTCAAACAGAAGAGTAAATCACAAAATTATGTATTAAAACAAAAACATAGCTTACTAAGAAATTCTGAGTTTCACAAGGCACAGAAATATCACATAGAGGTATTAAAGATAAATGTTTAGCTGATTTAATGTACCCTTCGTTTGTGGAAATAAGCCAACTAGTATATCAAAGGGTCTTGGCATTTTTAATTTTTTAAGTGCTGCATATAGCCAGCCTGTGATTAGAATGCAGCTCTACCAAGATTCAAGTCTGAACTATGTGTAATATGAAGCTATAGAGTAACCAGTAACTTGCCTAAGCAATAATATTCCAAAACGTTATGCCTTTTTACATGTCACTGTACATTCATTTAACATCTAAGTATATAACAATTCCCGATTCTACAGAAATTTATCATAAAATTCAAAATTTTAAATATTTAAAAAAAAAAAAGAAAAAATGTTACTTGAAAGCCAGAGGTACACAGAGAGAGAGAGAAATCTAGCAGCCATTGGATCACTCTCCAAATGTTTGCAACAATGAGAACTGGGATGGTTTGAAGCTGTAAGCCTAACTTTTTCTAGGTTTCCCATGTAGATGGAGGTGTCCAAAGCCCTGGACTATCTTTCGCTATTTTGCCAGTCAATAAGCAGGGAGCTGGGAGGAAGTAGAGCAGCTGGGACTTGAACAGGTGCCCATTTGGGATGCCGCGGCTACATCTGGAGGATTAACTGGCATCATCACTGTACCAGTTACATTGAAACATAATTTTTAAACATGAAACTAAATCTATGTACATTGGAAGCAAATGGAGAACTTAAATTATATCTCAGAGTGGGACCTATTTTTTAAGTTCCCTGGATGGTTTTCAGAGAGCTACAGGTTGACTACTTCAGCCACAGCCATGAAATTATTGTGGCCTGTATTCCACACAATTCTGTAAGAAATTAAACTAAGGGTTTACCAAGTTAACCAAGCAGCTTAAAAGCTGCTAAATTCAAAAACACTTATTACTGTGCTAGATCTAGATGTCGGCATGAATCCTGGAGAATAAAATCAAGGAAAAATAATAAAATAGAACTGATAATCATGTAACACTGAACAAAATATTTCAAGTCTTTATTCTACCACCCATGATTACCCACGATGCTTCCATACTCACGCAACTTTGCTCACAACTCATATATGCAGAGCTCTTCAGATAGGAATTCATTAACTTCTTAATGCCAGTCGTGCAAAACTGCCTTTGTCCCACCCATCTTTCCCTTTATTGATCAAATTTACTGGAACTAGTCTTTCTTTACCTGCACCACTTTGGCCTCTCTCTAGAGATACTGTTACTTTCTTCCAAACCTATTTCATATCCAACTGCTGTAAGTATTTGTCCAGACTACTTATTTAACTATCAAGGTTATCAGTGAATGGCTTAAACCTAAATTGAAAAGGGAATGACTGTGCTAGCAGCTTGATGGTTCATTTGCGAAATGTTAATAACAGTAATTATCCTGAGGATTAAATGAGACATTTGCAGATTTCCTGTTTCTTTGGGGTTACATATTTCTTAACATAACACTGCTTCTCCACTGATCCCTCCAATATTTCTCCTAATGGTGCTTTCTTCATTCTATTTTTTTCTAGCAAGTGGAATCCCTTAGCAGTGTGTCTATTTAAAAAAAAAAATTTATTGGAAACTCAGATATTCAGAGGAGGCAGCAAGACAGAGAGGAAAATCTTCCATTCACTGATTCACTCCGCAAGTAGCCACAATGGCCAGAGCTGAGCCAATCCAAAGCCAGGAGCCTCCACAGGGTCTGCAACGTGGGTGCAGGGTCCCAAGGGTTTGGGCCATCCCTTCCTGCTTTCCTAAGCCACAAGCAGGGAGCTGGAAGGGAAGCGGGGCTTGTAGGACATGAGCTGACGTCTATATGGAATCCCAGTGCATGAAAGGCGAGGGCTTTAGCCACCAGCCTACCGCCCGGGCCAACACTCTTGAAACTTGGACTGATTACTTCCTTCCTCCTGGTTCTGACTTCCCCTCATGAGGGCTATTTGCCTGTTCTAGGTACTTGCAACATGGCAGATAATATCTTAAAATTATAGGAAAAAAAGTGAGCTAACACAACTCAAAGCTAATAGAAAGAATAAAGATATAGCAGAGGTAAATGATATACACAGAAAAATCAACAAACTGAAGGTTGATTTTAAAAACAAACAAAATACCTTTAAGTACAAAACAAACTCTCATTACAAAACCAGAAATGAAAATAGAAATATTAATGCCATGCAACAGAAATGAAATGAATTAGCAAAAATGAACAACAGCACCCAATCTAGATAATTTACATGAAACAAATTCTAAGTACAAAACATACCTACCAACTAAACAAAAGCTACAAAACATTATCCTTTAAGTAAACTTATATAGTCTGAGTCCTCTAACTTAGCAGCAAGAAGTCCAGAATGGGGTCACTGCTGCCATCCTAAGGGAACACTTCAGCAGTAAGCATGAAGGAGAATTCAAGCCAGGATACGACTGGATGCGCCAACACACAGAACATGGCAGGCTCAGCAATGTCTTCACTATGGCATGGAAAATCCACCCTTCAATAAGTGACTACATTTTATAGAATAAAGTTCTATTTCTGTACACTATTGGATAACAATCCAAGAAGGATTTTAAGAACACAACTATTTATTTAGAACACAGGAAAAAAGGCAATCAAGGAGGCATAAGCCTTATACACCAAAAACAGGGCTATAAGTGAAAGACTATCCAGAGATAATGCACTGGAACATGTTATGTTAATACTATACATACTATTTCCAAATTTTAAACTGTAGCAATCAAGCTCACAAAAGCATAGGGATATACATGAACTGACTAGACAGCACAGAATTAAACCTTTGTATATAGGCTCCATTGATTTTTTTTACCAAGATGCCAAGATAAATCTTTGAGGGGGAAAGAACATATTTCATGAGACAGTGTTTTAAAAAAAAAAAAAACCCTAGGTATCTGGGCCCAGCACGGTAGCCTACTGGCTAAAGTCCTCCCCTCACATGTACCGGAATCCAATACGGGCACCGATTCTTCCCCTAGCTACTGGATTTCCCATCCAGCTCCTTGCTCGTGGGGGAGCAGTGGAGGACAGCCCAAAGCCTTGGGACCCTGTACCCAGGTGGGAGACCTGAAGAAGGCTCCTGGCTCCTAGCTTCAGAACAGCTCAGCTTCTGTCTCTCCTCTTTGTACAACCATCTTTACAAAAAATGTAAATAAATCTTCAACAACAATAGAGAGAGAAACAGAGAGAGAGAGAAAGGTCGAGAGAGAAAGAGAGAGAGAAAGGTCTTCTGCACGGTGGTTCACTTTCCAAACGGACCCAACGGCCAGAGCTGGGCTAAGTATCAGTCCCTAAACATATCTTTTTAAAAAAAAATCTAGTAACCAAAGGTCTTAAGATTTCTTTCACACGTAGCTTTATTTTCAAGTATTGGAAATGCTAAGATAGTATCTTCAGCTGTTTTGTGTTGGTATTCCAACCTTCTTTCCTGTGTAAGTAGCTCATAGCCTGGTTCCTTAAGAACAACGCTGACATAGATATAATACTAGAAAGATTTTGACATCATTTTGCTTATCAAAGCCACAGAAGAGAAAGATAAATGTTAAAATTTTGTCACATCACAAATTCTGTCTAAAACAGAAAAATTAAAACGAAGCACAGTACTTTCAACATAAGGTGCAGATATCTATTGGAGTCTGCAAAGCAAAAGGCCAGCAAAAAACAAACAATGTAAATGCTGCTTTAAAATTTCTTGGAGTTTATTTTTAAGACAAACCTGGCTTTCTTTTCATAATAAAAAAATCTGGCATGATACAAATCAAGTTCTATATAACATAAGTAAATATGTGTTGAACAGTTTTTGTAATTGTTCCACTGGTGACAAATACTTCTGATTAGTAAAAGCAATCTTATTTTATTGCTAGTCTTTGTCAAATATTTAATTACTTATACTCTTTAAGATAAAATATTTTGAGGTAACAAAAAAAGCTTTAAGGGAAGCAACTTTTATTACATGGCTTTCTATATTAAATGGAAGTGACTGAAGCCTGTAATCATACAAGCAATTAAACTCACATAACAGGAAAACTAAAACAACCAAACTAAGCTATGGAAAGACTGAGCTAAGATAACTGCAAACAGAGAGAAAAACCAGCACCAAGAGCTGCTCAGATGGGAACAACAGTGAAAGGTAAAACTTAGCATTCACAATAAATAGATAAATCACAAAAAGATTTATTCTTTTTTTAAAAAAAAAAAATATTTATTTTTATTGCGAAGTCAGATATACAGAGAGGAGGAGAGACAGAGAGGAAGATCTTCCATCCGATGATTCACTCCCCAAGTGAGTACAACGGCCAGTGCTGTGCCAATCTGAAGCAAGGAGCCCAGATGCTCATGTGGGTCTCCCACGTGGGAGCAGGATGCCAAAGCTTTGGGTTGTCCCCTACTGCTTTCCCAGCCCACAGGCAGGGAGCTGGATGGGAAGTGGAGATGCAAGGATTAGACGCGGCGCCCATATGGGATCCCAGTGCGTTCAAGGCAAGGACTTTAGCCACTAGGCCCCGTGTCAGGCCCAAGAAGCTTTATTCTAATGAGACTAACAGGAAATAAAACAATGTAACTTACTCTTTGATATCACGAAGTTGATCAACATCTTGTGATCTTGTAAAATCTGGATCATGTGCTAGCAGATGAATCATGTAAGGAACTACATATTCCGGCAACAGTGACAATAATTTCTCTAAAACAAAAACATCATTATTTACTATAATAAGACTGGCATTAGTTTGTATTATTCCTATAGGTATTTCTAATTTAATGGGCACAAGACACATAGATTAACACTGATACTCTTTTATTCTCAAACATATTAAAACAAAACAGAAACTGATGAGCTTCAAATCAAACTACATAATAATCTAAAAAAATTTTATGAAGTATATATAGGATTCACAAAATAGGATTTCATTTAAATTCATCTTATTAACTACTCTGGCACAATTTTATTAAAAACCCAGTATAATTATGAATTGCACTAGCAATATTTAAATGACCACACTCCCTCAACAAGTGACAAGCAATATTTGCATCCTTGGGACTTGCCACTTACCAGCAGCCACGGGATTCTGTTTAATGTACTCCCTGCGTATACTAATGTTTTTGAGCAAACACTGTCGTGCATGTGCTCGTCTTTCCTTCACAGGATCTTTGGCACACAAGGCAAAGATCGCCATGTACTCCAACGGGAGCAGCAACTTCACAAGTGCCTTATGTAGCTTCTGAGCAAAAATTTGCCTTACTTGGTAACACTCATCCTGTAACAGTACAAAAACAGTACCAGTTAAATTAATGTAATAAACATATGGGAGGGGAGGGGTATGGGAGGGGTGGGGGGAATCCCCAGCGCCTATAAAACTGTACTACATAATACAATGTAAGCAACAATAAATAAAAATTAAAAAAAAAACATATGGGAGGAATAATTTAATGTTTGGGAGATATTAAAATAGATAACAATAGAAATGCATTTCATTATGAATATTAAATGGACTTATGATCAAGGAAAGGAAATGGTTTAACAAAACAACTGAAAAGAAAACTGTTACTTACATTAATAACAAGTGCACAGAGTTGAAACTGTTCTGGGGTAATAATTTCATGGTAACAAGGTTCCTGAGCAAGCTTCATTATGGCACTACCAGCAGCTAATCGCAAGCGAGACATATCAGATTTACTATAAACAAACAAAAAGAAATAAACATTTCCTATAACCACGATCATTCATAACAATGCTTTGATCCCTTTTTGAGTGCAAAATACTTGGAAATACTTTATGGATAGTGGACTGTACAAAAACAGGAAACCAACACTGAATTCACGAACTCAACATCTGCTACTTCACTCCCCAGATGACCTCAAGGGCAAGGACTATCAGGTGTTCAGATAATTTGTTGTCATTGCAAGAGAAGGCACACTACAGAATTAGCAACAAACTCTGTACTTTATTTATTAATGTGATCTTGTACAAAGCTTTACATTTCCCCATCTTTCAGAGTGTCAAGCTGCCCTTAAATGGCCTGGCACAGTAACTTATTATAAGTGATCAAATAATAGGTATTCTTTACATGATTGGACTTGGGGAAAAATCATTTGAAAATTGATTTTTCTTTTCTTGTAACTTATAGATAGCCTGACAGTTTTCAAACCAGCTTTTCCCATTTCTTAAAGGTTTCAAAACAATCCTCCATGCAGTATTAACACATAAAAGTCAATGTATGGAACAAATCTGCAGCACAACCAATAGAATCAACGCTTATGTTCCTCTCCTGATGGTGATGTGGGCTACTAGTCTGAAAAAAACACCGGGAGAATGGTCCAAGCTGTTGGGCCCCGACACACATGCGGGAGACTTGGGGATGCTCTTGATTCCTCCCCTAGAGACATGAAATTTGCTTCTTGAAATCCAAAATGGCATAGTAAAACATGATACAAAGACACTAAAAATACTGAAGGTATACATAAATGATTAAATCCCTCTCCTTTAACACAAACTCTAAGGTAGGAATGCATTACAAGCTGGATTCTATAGTTATCTCAGTGCGCATAGCCCCATGCAAGAACTTAAGGAAACAAGAATCATAACACAATGAACTTTTATTTACATATTAAAATAAACAGAAGAGATAACAATTTCACAGTTTTAAAGAAAAAAAACTGTGTTGAAATTCAACAAACATTTACTTTTGTTTTGTAGAAACATACAGTGTTTTCTGTATACAACCAGGAAGGCTTAAACTCTTTTTCTGAAACTGCTCAGTCCCTCCACTTGTTCCATATTACTACTGATCTTACAAGTTTTTGCTGTTGTGCTTTTCATAGCATTTTGCAGACAACAAAGGAAACAAATATTCATTTGGATACAGCAAATACTGATACTAACTCTAACATTAAACTATGTAACTACGAGAAAAAAAAATGATCAGTCTTTAAAAGTGAAAAAAATACACGATTAGTAAAATACACTCTAACGAATGTAAACCCCAAGTGACTGCTTCAGATTTGCTTCCAAAAATAAATCCCAATTACAACATTCAGTAATAGGTAAATAACTCCTATATAACTTCTAACACAAGATTTTCGCTAAGATAATTATAAAGGAAGAAAAACCTTACCTGATCCTCTTTTGCTCTGTCAGGTCACCCTCACTAACCAACATCGCTGATAATAACCGAAGAGTTGAATTGGCAGATTTAGACTGGTTGTTTTTCATACCCAATAGCCACCTTACCAGAAGTTTAATCGCCTGCACCTATAAAATATTAACATGCTAAAGCAAGCAAGCAATTCAAAATTTCAATTAGAGGGAAGCATTTGTTACTTTTAAATAACCTTGTCACCACAGACAAGTTTGGTTAGGTATTTCTAAGAGGTATTAATAGTAATAATGAAAACCAATACTTATTCTGTTCAAATATAGTCCCAGTAATACGCTTCCCATAGCTATACATGTATTGACTTTGAGAAATATCCTATTTTACAACAGATTAGGAAAAAGAGGTTATGTTATGACAGAATTAAGGATGAGCTCTAGAACTCAGCTTTTCACTCAGACAAGTTCGACCAAGATTTTTAAAGTATTTTAAGTATTTTGAAATACTTAAACTATAGATTATTTTGATTAAAATGTTCAGATTGCTTGTAGCACTGAAAAACTACTGAAAAAATCAAGTCTGATGCTGACTCAGTGAGCAATTTGATTAAAAGTTTCCAAATTACAATCATAATTTTTTTTGCTATATTCATTGGAAATAATTTGATTGAATATACAATGACTACAAAATGGAATTCACTAAAGACGATATCACATACCTATTTAAACCTCATGACCACAACTTTTACAAATTATATTGAGGATTAATTTGGTGACAAATCCTTAATATAAAGCACCTCATTTAAAAATACTTGCAACTGCTAGGTCAACAGAAGAAATTCTGTGTTTCTTTTCAGAGTAATGCTTAACAATACCTATAGGATTTTACCTTTGCTAGTACTTCAGGGGAAACCTCTTCATCTGGAGACCATAATTTCCCATTCTTCTCACCTGATGACTATAAAAAATTGAATAAGCTTAGCTTCTAAATAAATATAAGCTCTTGATCATCAAGTTTTAAAAAAATTAACCTGTTCCTCTGAATTTTTTACGCAAAGGTTAAAAATGTTCTAATTGCTCATATGGCTGTTATTTTTTTTACTCATTTATCTGAGAGGCAGAATGGCAGGGAGAGGCCTTTTCAACCTCTGATTCATTCCCCCAAGTGGTCACAGCAGCTGGGATTGAGGTTGGCACCAAATTCTGATTCTCCTAGAAGGGTAGCAGAGGCCCAAGTACTTATCTTCCACGACCCTGGCACCTGGACTTTATCTAACACACAAATCAGTATTCTGATATGGGATAGAAGTGTGTGTCAGAATGCTGCCCGTGCTCATTTACAATTTTACATACTGAATAATTCAGGCTCTAGAAATATCTACTGAAAAGTCATCAAGTACTGCTTGACAAGAACAAAGTTGGACAACTCACATTTCACAATTTCAAAACTATAACAATGTTATCATCAGACATATGAAACAAAAGAAGAGAATGAGGAACAGAAAACATTACATTTATGGGCAACTGACTTTTGAAAAATTTTCCAAGTCAAATCGTTGCTGAAAGAACTGTAATGAGATTTTAAAATGAAGCACCTCTTCAATACAAAATGACACAAAAAACTGGATACCCAAAATCAAAAGAATGAGGGTGGACCACGACAGCATATTTAAAAATTAATTCAGAATGGTTGAAAAATCTTAATACTCGTAGGCATCAAACTCTGGGAAGATGACATGCAGGGGAATCTTTTTAAAAAAATTATTTATTTGGGGCCAGGCATAATAGCGTAGTGGTTAAACCTGGCACACGCTGGGATCCCATATGGATGCTGGTTCTAATCCTGGCTGCTCCACTTCCCATCCAGCTCCCTGCTTGTGGCCTGGGAAAGCAGTTGAGAACGGCCCAAGGCCTTGGGACCCTGCACCTGTGTACAGGGAGACCTGGAAGAGCTCCTGGCTCCTGGCTTCAGATTGGCTCAGCTCCAGCCATTGCGGCCACTTGGGGAGTGAACCATCAGACAGGAGATCTTCCTCTCTGTATATCTGCCTTTCCAAAAATAAAATAAAATATAATAAAATAAAATACATCTTTAAAAAAAATCTTATTTGAGGAGACTGATGCAGTGGCATGGCAAGCTAATTCTCAGCTGACATCCCATTTGGGCGCCTGTTTGAGTCAGGCTTAGCACTGGCCATTGTAGTCACCATTGGAGTGAAGATGGAAAATCTGTCCCTCTCTATAATTCTGCCTTTCAAGTAAAATAAATAAATCTTTAAAACATTATTTATTTGAAAGGCAGAGTTACATCTGCTGGTTCATTCCTTCAATCGCTGCAACTGAATGAGTCTTATGGATCTCTCATATGGGTGCCAAAGCACAAGGAATTAAGTCACTGTCCACCACCTCCCCAGGCTCATTACCAGGCAGCTGTATCAGAAGCGGGGCAGCAATAATTTGCCCAAAAAGGATCTAAGTGTTATACAGTACCAGCCTAGGGTGAAACCTTGTCATCTAAGTTTGGCAAATATCTCACAAACCCTTACTATATGGGGTAGTTCATAAAAGAAAAAAAACCTTAGAACAGAAACAAAATTCAAAATTGTGTAAAGGACAAAAATATGCAGTTCTCTACATATTTTCAGACATGACAAATGGTAGGCATCAGGTGCAGCAATCAACAGAGCTGTGCAGGCCCGCATCCCATCTCCTTGTCTTTGTCTAGCTTTTGGCAATGTCAACAGGGATGCCCAAGCAGCTGGATCTCTGCTATCCCAGATGAGACCTGCACTGAATTCCTGCTTCTCAGTTTTCACTTAGTCTTATAATCATGATAGCTGGCATTTCTAAGGGGGATATGTGTGAGCTGGTGGATACAAGAGCTTTCTCTCTCATCTCTGTAGATGTGCCTTTCCAATAAAGAAAATATATCATGTGGGTCCAGCATCGTATTCTAGTGGCTAATGTCCTTGCCCTACATCCTGCAGGTTCGCATATGGGTGTCGAATTGAATCCCAGTTATGCCACTTTGTACTCAACCCCCTGCTGTTGCCCTGGGGAAGTAGCAGAGGACAGTCCAAAGCGTTGTGACCCTGACACCTGCATGGGAGACCCGGAAGAAGCTGTTGGGTCCCGGCTTTGGATCAGTTCAGCTTCAGCTATTGTGACCACTTGGGGAGTGAACCAGTAGATGGAAGATCTTTGTTTCTACTTTTCGCTGTAAATCCGACTTTTCAATTAAAAAAAATCTTAAAAAAAAATCTCCTCTATTAATTTACATTCACTGTTACTTAAGCCGAAACAAACAAACAAAAAATCCCGTAATACAGGTAGGAGACATATCTCAAATGAGACGTGGCAGTCACGTCCCTCTCTTACTCAACAGTATTCACAAGGAGACATAATAACACAATTATCTCATATTCTTTTTTATTTCCCCTGAAGTCAGGAACTCATCTCTAAGATATTGTACTTAATGAGGGCCAGTGGGGACAACACCACAGTGGAACAGTAGACTAATCCTCGACCTACTCTGCCAGCAATCCAAATAGGTGCTGGAGAGCAGTGGAGCATGGCTCAAGTTCTCAGGACCCTGAATGCACAAGGGACATCCAGAAGAACCTCCTGGCATCATACCGACTCAGCCACATCCCCTGTCAGCATGTGGGGCGTGAACCAGCAGATGCAGGATCTGGGTCTCCTTTTGTACATCTGACTTTGAAACAAAAATACATGTTTGAAAAACGATTGGCTAAACCAGAACAAAACAAAATTTTATCTAGAGAAATAGAAATGGTGTTTCCATGATAAAGATGTAAGCAAACTTATAACTCTAAATTTAATTGAATAAAAAACTTACCCTGTCATTCATTAGTAGATCTTTCACAATAAAATTTGCTACTACAGATTTCATCGGGGAAGCAAACTGGTCTGGAGCTAACATGGAGATGTGGCCCAAGGAGACTAAGGGAGTTATAAGTTGCTCAGGAACGTCGGCATTCAAGCTCCTGCTGAGTGGCTATAAAAACACAACACAAATTCAAATAGCTTTTATAAATATTACTACTTCAACGACAACAATAAATTTCCCTGAGTCTTTTTAAATTTAATAGTGTTTCCACAACTAATGTCAATTATGTTAGATCATGGTTTAAATACATGACAACTGACATTTAGGGAAAAAAAAAAAGATTGACAAATTCAAATTGAAGAAATTATGCCCAAGAAAAAGAACTGAAATTTATCTGCTTTTTCAAACCAACATTATTTTCAACCTATCAACATTGTTTGCCATGTTAGGAGTCTTCTAGCACTGAGGGAATATGTTAAATGATCTAGAATTATTTTTAAAAAATGCATTTCCTGGTTTCTTTCCACATTACTTACAATTTGTGATGACAGAAACATCATTTTAGTAGCATAATTAGCCAATTGATCACAAACAAACAAAAAAACCCACAAGGGTTAGCTTTCAGGAAAGGTTTTCAACTACTTTAGATGAGATGATTCAAAATGATAACAATGCTGTGTGGCCAAACACCTTTCGTGGATAAATGAATCATTAAGCCAAAGCATTAAAAATAAGTTGTTCTAACATAAACAAACAAAGCATTGTTCACTGTAAAGCATTTACATCTACAGCCTGTTCTGGGAGTATATGGCTAAATAAAACAAATCCCTGCTCCCAAGGAATTTATACTCTAGTGTTGAGCTACAAATAAATAGTTAAGAAAAAATTTATCTTTCATTTTTATTAAATCTCAGAGGTCTGAACATAAAGACGCACATAAATACCATCTATGAATAACATATACCTCAAAAATCTGTGCAAGTTGGACTTCTTTATTTGAGAATATGGCATGTATACAGTGCACAGCCTGCTTTGCCTGGTGCGGAGTACCCCTCTTTGCCTTCTGATGTAAAATAGGTATTAAAGTCCTGCAAAAAATAATATCACAGTTTTTTGGTTTTCTTGAAGCCACTGGTTTTTTGAAGCTATTATTCTTTTTGACTATCTCTTGCTTTGTCTTTTTGGATGAAGCTTCACCAAAAAATGCTACATCAGGAGACAATTATTTTAAAGTCACCACAATTATAAAAAAATGAAATATCCCAATATATTTTTATAATTACCTTCTAAATAGACATTCTTAATTTTCGCATTCCCTACTACAATCTACATTTATTTTAAAGTAGCCACTGAAAAAGAATAGCAAAGGCCAAGTTTTGATGAACAGGTTAAACACCACCACAGAGAGAAATGCAAATACAGGTATCTACACATAGATATTCCTGGATACTACCCAAAAACTATTAAATAAATGTGCTAAAATGTTTGTGCATGGAATAAGATCTTCCTCTCTGTCTCTCCTTTCCAATAAAAAAAAAAAAAAAATAAAATCTTAAAAAAAAAAGTGAACCAATAATCGGAAGACTGCTCTCTTTCCTGCTCATTTTACAAATCTGTCCTTGAAAAAAAAACAAACTACTACTTTCCTTGCTTTCTTCTTAAAGTGTGCTATCACAGTTGTTGCTGTTTCTTTACCGTTGTGCTTTCCTCCTTTCCCTATTAGCCTTAACAACAAGAAGCTGTGAACAAACTTAATTCGGCCATTATTACCTTTTAAAAAAAAAAAGGACAGATTTTCCTAACATGAAAAAAATCTCCAAGGGCCAGCATTGTGGCATACCACATACAGAGCCAACTTCTAAGACAGCAAACCATTTATGTGCCAATTTATGTCCTGGGTATTTTGCTGAATTGTGTAATCTACCTTCAAGTGCCAGGGTACAATATGGGTATTGGTTCTGTAAATCTGCCTCTCTAAAATATGTAAGTAAATGAAATAGTCTTAAGAAAGACTGGTTTATATTTTGAATTATTCTGAACACAGCCACAAGTAATGCATTCTTCCAATACAAACTCCCAGGACAAATTTAGGGAGGGTAGATATACAGAGAGAAGGAGATATAGAGAAAGATCTTCCATCCACTATTTCACTCCCCAGGTGGCCACAACAACCAGAGCTGGGCTGATCCAAAGCCAGGAGCCAGAAGCCTCCTCCAGGTCCCCTACATGGATGCAGGGTCAAAGGTGATCTTATGCATTTCTAGGCCTCAAGCAGCAAGCTGGATGGGAAGTGGAGCAGCAGGGCTACAAACCGGTACCCATATGGATTCCTGGCAGGTGCAAGGCAAGGATTTAGCCACAAGGCTACTGTATCAGGCCCTATATTACTTTTTAAAGATTTATTATTTATTTTTATTAGAAAGGCTAGAGAAAGGTCTTTCATCCATTGGTTTATTGCCCAAATGGTTGCTAAGGGCCAAGGCTGAGTTGATCTGAAGTCAGGAGCCAAGAGCTTTTTCCAGGTCTCCTACATGGATGCTGAGTCCAAAGGCTTTGGGCAATCCCTGCCCGCTTTCCTAGGACATAAGCAGGAGAGGTGGATAGGAAGTGGAGCAGCTGGGACACAAACCAGTACCCATTTTGGATCCTGGTGCTTGAAGGGGGTAGAATTAGCCCAATAAAGCATTGCATTGGAAGAGAGTGCTGTGGAAAACAACAAAGACGATACAGAAAAACAGCATCTGAATGAACACTATTTTTCTCTCCCTATCTTATGACAGATACAAAAGCATTCCATGTTTCACACACTTGAAAAAATATACTCACGATCGTATCTGGGGAAGATCTGTTTCTATTTTGTGGCCTGTATTTCTAAAAATTTGTATAGCAGCTTCTGCTACCTTATCATCCTCCATCCTCAGGCACTGCAACAAGGACTCATATGTCTCTGCGGAGTGGAACGAGGTAGGATGTGTGAAAGACAGAACCTAGGGGAACAGATACAGCTTTAGATGTGTAGATGGAACTTAATCTACTAAAAAAAGAATTATTTTCTATTTTATTTCCTACAATGAATAAAATTAAGGTTAGTTACACAAAACAGAATTACCATTACTTATATTTAGCTATGGCTAATTAGATATTAACAGAAATAATACATGTTAATTTCTAGTGCACTTGATGTACAGCCTTTGCCCTATTTTTGGAGTTCCAATGTTAATAATGACCAGTTTATAAATCTATTTTATTTATCTGCAAGAATGTCTAGTCAAAATATTTAAATGTCTCAATCTTTGTGAGATGTACAGAAAATGTTAACTTGAGCATTATTGGACTTACAAAAATGTAGTCAATTTGAAACTAGGTGAGATGTAATATATCACAAAAACTTTACTCATTACAATTAGGGCTACAAATATATTTATTTCATTATACCCAACCTATGTTTAAGGAATTTATGATCTGCTTCTAAAATTCATCTGCTATGAGTTAGAGAATTCACTCAAGAAAAGAGGCTGAAAGAGAAGAAGCAACCAAGCAGTCTTTGTTAATTTAAAAGCACTGTTTATTTGAAGAGCTGTGTAGTGCAAAGACGCTCACTCAGTAAAACTGGAGTGATACTTAATTGTTAGGTTTTAATAACTTGGAAATTAAGAATTTGAAAAACTACATTATACCAACTCATTTAAAAATATTGATCTAAACAATGATTTTGCTTTTAGAACTAGGTAATGATACAGCCCAAATAAAAATATTATATTATTAAAATCTTATATCCATAATATGTAAGACTGTAACAATACGATCACATCTCTCTTTTCTACTACATTCAAATATCTCTTCTCAAGTGACTTACTTAGGTTACATGTGATTTATTCCTGTCTCTAACAAATCCAATCAAAGTTTTATTATGTGCAACAGGATCAAAGTCCCAAAACTAGCTTCCTCTGCCTCTAAGGTTCTCCGCAGGCTGCAAACAAGCGAACACCCTTGTTGCCTATCACTCCCCAAAGCAACCTGTTTCCTCTGGCTTATCTCCCAAGGGTCTTTCAAATATGTCAATCACTATCCCCTTGCAGGATTCTGCTTCCTCCATAATAGGTATACATTGTCCAGAAAATCATCAGTAAACTGGCTGTCACTGGTTACTCAATATGTTGAGTTCTTTGGCATCTATTATAATTACTTATTGTTGAAAAATTATCTACTCGAATGCTGTCATAATAATTTATTTTTGTAGTTTACCACGCTAGATTGTCTGAATTATCAGGTTATTTGGCATACAAATATTTTTAAAAAAAAACACATTGGGAAACAAAATTTCAAATTTTACTTTCTATTATAAATACTAATATGATGCAAAATGCTTTTATAAAACAAAACTCTTGGGCCCAGCACAGTAGCCTAGTAGCTAAATCCTCTCCCTGCACATGCAGGAAGCCCATAGGGGTACCAGTTTGTGTCCCGGCTGCTCCACTCCACTTCTAGCTCCCTGCTTGTAGCCTGGCAAAGCATATGAATGACCCAAAGTGCTGGGACCCTGCACTTGCATGGGAGACCTGGAAGAATCTCCTGGCTCCCAAGTTTGGATCAGCTCAGCTTTGGCCATTATGGCCACTTGGAGAATGAACCAGTGGATGGATCTTTCTGTCTTTCCTTCTCTCTGTAAATCTGCCTTTCCAATAAAAATAAAGTGATTCTTAAAGAAAAATACAACACTCATTATACATGCTTAATATTTTAAATACTTTCTTATGCAATCACTTCAGCTTGCACATCGGAAACAATACAAAATACAGCATGCAAAGAGACAAAATTATTTCAAAAATACCTTTAGAAGCTCAAGTCCTGAACGAATAGCAGTATCTGGACTTACACCCTCTTCTTCATCATCTGCTGTCCCCTCTATTGACTTGTTCATTAATTTTACAAGTGCACTATTAAAAAAAAATGTCAATTAGAAATATAACAAAATTAAAGGCTATACTCAAACTGTATTACAATAAAACGTACATAGAAACTAACAGGATCACATTCAATTAAATTTCTGTGAGAGAAGATTTAATATTCAGACTATGTGATAGCTGAGCATATTTTTGGCTTACACTTTCAATATAATTTCAGAGAAAAAAGTGTAAAAAAATAAAATGGAAATAATATACTACAAATACAAGCAATTAAAGATTTAATTTCATCAGTACAAAGCTTATTTACAACTTTATGATTTATAAGGCAGTCAGTATTCATGGGAAAATGGTTTGACAACCTTAGTTGCTATAAAAATCCTTCCTTGCTCATGTTACTCATACAAGTATAAAGTGAAGTAGTATTTGCATATAACCAGTATTCTTCCTTTAAATCAGTTTTGTAACACTGTATTATTTAGAAAACCAACCAGTGGGACCAGATGGACTGGCACTGGAAGCCACTGGCAATGAGGTCAGGGCTTCAGAACCCCCAGGAAAGGGGATCTTCTGTAAATTTGTCTTTCCAATAAAAACACATAAATCTTTAAAACAGAAAAGGAAAAAAAAAATTCCCTGTATCCCACATCATGGTGCCTGGTCAATTTCTGGTTCCAGCTCCTGATTCCAATTTCCTTGCAATGTGGACCCAAGCAAGCAGCAAGTGATGGCTCCTATGTTCAGGTCTTTGCCACCCAAACCAGACACCTATGTGCATGTGCAGTTCTGGCTGCTAGCTTTGGCCCTGGCCCAGCTTGAAATGAATCAACAAACTAAAACTCCCTACTTCCCTGTCTGCCTCTGCTTCTTAACCAGAAAAAGAGGTAGAATAAAGTGAGAGAAACTGTCATGTAAAATATTAATGTATAGTAGTGATGATATTTAGTTGTGGATAAACCTCTTTCTGTCTGAAAAACAATAACAAAAAATCCCAACTTCCTTATCTCTCTTCTGTGTAAATGAGGAAATTAGAAGATAAGGAAATTAAATTCAAAATGAAGTCAATCTTTCCACTATACAGTGACATGCTTCCCAACCCCATTCAGATGGACTCTGATCTGTAGCATCTCAGAACGGGACATTCATGGATCCAAGGACTTAAAAGAGATTATTATAGTAAAATGTGGTCACTTGGAGGACAACACTGGGGCAAAACTAGCTAGCACTTTAGCTGAAGTATTGGCATTCCTTATGAGCCCCAGTTGTAATTTCAGTTGCTCCATTTATGATACAGCTCCCTGCTACTGGCCTGAGAACACCAGGGAGGATGGTTCAAGGCCATGGGCACCTACAGAAGCAGCTTCTGGCTCCCAGCTTCAGAACAGCCTCACTCTGGCTACTTGGCAATTTTGGGAATGAACCACTGTATAACTCTGTCAAGTAAGATAAAACAAAAAATGAGATCACATAGGTATGCCCCAATGCAAAATGTATATTCCTATGAGAAAAGGAGATTGGACTACAGATATGCCAGGCCCAAAGAAAAAATACTATGCAGAAACACCTGTGAATCAGACAGTCTGCAGGAATATCAAACTGATGATACACTACTCTGAAAATGGCCCTTCCAGAACTATGAGAAATTTTCTATTTTTAAAGCGACCCAATCTGTGATTATTTTATTATGTCAGTCACAGTAAACTGATACAACCTTATCAGTGAGTCACATAAAAAGAAATCACATATCCAAATCATAAATTGGAAAAATAACTAACAAGCACTTTATAAAATGTCCGACACTGCTGCAACCCATAGACATCTATGGTACTTTCTGTAAAACATCTCTAATTCTCACTTTCAGAGGTGTTATATGAATGCTGAAAGCAAATGAAAAATCACATAAATTAAAACAACTTTTTCCAAAACTTCAAACACTAATGTTTAAAAACCAGAGCCATCCAATGGCAATTCTGTTTATTTTTCCATGTACTATCCTCACACATTAAGTCAGCAATGGTGTAACAAACGCTCCCACAGAGTTGGATGTTTCCTCTAAAACATTTAAGAAACCTCAGACAGTTTGTTTCTTCCATTCTGTACTTTCAAAGTTTTCTTCAATAAACCTTACTAAGGCTAACAATAAAGACAAAAACTCTTTTCAAAAAGGAGCACTGAATAAAGCTAAAGATCATAAAATCAGCAGGCCTGCTTTCATTTTTAACAAGTATGCTTCTGCCATTAAAAACTATTTACATTTCTTTAGGCACGCAGGATTTAAATATATATCTTACCTTATGGCTTCTGAATCAATGTGCACAGGTGCAATTCTTTCTAGCAGAAATTTGACCATCTCTAGAAATGGATTTGTTGGCTGCTTAGGATTTGCAAGTTTCCGAGCTATTTCTCTCTATAAAAACAAAACAGCTTTATCATGTGATTCACACTGATGTTATAAAAATTAAAATCAAAAGACTACATGCCTAAAACACAAAGGTTTAAAACCAACAGTGTTGAATAAAGGCTTTCTGTTTCATATTCTTACTAATATTTAGACACTCACTTAGCAACCTTGGCAAATGATGGACAGGGAGAACAGAGACTGGGTTTCTGAATGGTTTTAGCCTTTTGCCTTATGTTCCTTCCACGTTATCATTTTTTTTTTTTTAAACACATGGCTGTTACCTTTAATAGATTTGAAAGGCATAAGGAAAAAAAAATCAGAAGAGAGAGAAAGAGGTCTTCTACCCCACTGCTGAGGATTCAAATGATCACAAGAAGACACTGCAGTCAGGCCAACACTAGAAGGCAGGACGCCAAGCCAGGTCTTCCCTGTAAGTGGCAGGCAGTCCTGTTGCCTTCCAAGGAAGGAGTGGACTAGGAAGACGGTGCAATAGAAAGTGAAGCCAGCTCTCAACCTCAGGCACACAAACTGCTGTTTAAACTAGTACTTCAAATATCCAACAGAAAGCTAAACAAGAAAAATTTCAGTTCATGTCAGACTAAGAGTCTAAGGTTCACCAGTTCAACGTATGCAAAGCTTGGGAGCTGAAGAGCCAGGAAATGAATCCAGGAACTCGTGGCCAACCAAGGTGCACGAGAGGAAGCTACAATCACAGAATGAGGAGTCAAACCTGCATATTCTGATACTGCATGTGTATATCTTAACCAGCAATTTAGTTGCACGTTTCATGCTTGTTCCCCACGAAATGCTTATCTAACATTAACAACTATTTTTACAGAACTCAACTTAAAAAATATATTTTACATTTTCATGGGTAAGTTTGTTAACTAACTCATAATCTGATACAATACTACTTTGATTTAATGTTTAAATGGAAGATATTTATAAATAGATATTTGTGACTTTTTCACTATTTTCTGAATTAATCATGAACTCTCAAAACTGTTTAATTAGTAACCTAGACACAGAATTATTCAATGCTATTTTAAGATTGCAAAAATAAAATCCTCCCTATATAAGGTCAAAGAAGATGAGCTCCAACAAAGAGACAATCTTGATGAAAGTTCTTAAACCAAGTAACTGTAAAGAGTGGCACAAAGGTTAAACCTAAACTGCAAGCATCAGCATTCCACATGGCTGCCAGTTTGTATCCCGGTCACTCCGCTTCCCATCTAGCTCCTTGCTTATGATCCAGGAATGCAGCAGAGGATGGCCCAACTCCTTGGGTGCTGCACCTATGATGCAGACATGGAGGAGGCTCTTAATTAACTTTTATAACTTTGGATCAGATCAGTTCAGCCTGCTGTATCTATTTGGCAAGTAAAGCAGAAGATGGAAGATCTTCCTCACTTTGCTCTGTAAAACTGCCTTTGAAAAAATTAAGACTGACTCCTCGAAATTATGATTACATACACAGTGTGCTTGACATGGTAAAATTTATTTCAAATGCTTTCTTTTAAATTCAACACACAGTGCATAAATAAGAAAATGATAAATATACACTAAATGTAGCCTGAAACTATAAAACAGTAACAAAAATATAATTAGTCCACTTGTAAGCTTTTTAAATACCAGGATTTTAATGATGCATGATCAGTAAAAAAAAAAAAAAAAAAAGTTGAAAAAAGGGTCCTATTTAAAATTCAGTGACATCTTGATCTTAATGATAAAGGTCACATTAGATTACATATCATTTATGTTTGAGTGTAATTATAAGGGATAAAAATTCTAAAGGAAATTATTATTAAGTTATTAGAAAATGTCTGATTAAAATTAGCAAGCATTTAAGAAAGCAAAAATTTGTGCGGAGACCTTAAATACTTTGTTGTAGACATGGGCTCACATTCTACAGCTGAGTTTTAGGAGTGAGCACTGTGGTGCAACTCACTAGGATGCCACCCGAGACACAGGCATCCCATATGTACAATGATTCGCGTAATAAACGCTCCATTCTGATCCAGTCCACGCCTAATGCCCCTACATCAGGTCAAAGAGGCTGCAATATTTGGGCCCCTGGTCCCATATGACAGATCCACAAGAGAAGGACAAGATAACGTACCCAGCAAAGCTTTCCTTTGCCTTGAAAACAAAATAAAATTCTTCCATAGTAAAGAAAAGTTAAAATAATATGCCTCTTCCAAATATGTCCTACAAGGGCCACTTAAAGATGTTCTCTTGACAGGGAAGAGAAATAGCACGCACCAAAACCCAAGGCAAATGTGAAGAACATCCCAGTAAAGTAACAGGAGATTCAATCAATTAATAACCGATAGTTAAATGACAGGACAAAATTATTACTCATTCATATAAACCCTGAATGTAAATGACTCAAACTCATCAATCAAATGCTGCAGATAGATATACTGGATTGAAAAAACAAAACCCTTCTATTTGTTGCCTACAGTAGAAACATCTCACCAACAATGATCAGTGGAAACTATATCTCATGGATTTTGATTTTTTTTAATTTTATCTCTTCAAAACCCTTTCTCATTAAACTCTTCACTGCCTCATCTCAGAGTAGCATCATTTCCTTCAAGACGATTCTTGATTTCTTCAGTGTCACATTAGTCATTTAATACAATGTCATTTAACTTCATGGCATTTTAAATTTTTTTCTTTGCTTTCTGTTAATTCTTTTCTGGCTTTTCATTTAAGGGGATGTACAGTACGTGTGTAATGGAGATTGACATGTTCACATGTGAGGATACGATGCAGTATGCATCTCTACTTCCAGATCAAAATGGACTTCTAATGAAACTGTTAACTATATCTTGACAATAGGATGCTGGACTCTGCCATTGTCTATGCCCGCAATGATGGACATATGACTGTTTATGGAGAAGTATACTATAGCAATAATATAGAGGAACTCAGTATGTGTGTTGGTGGCGGGGGAAGGCTTAGGGAGGGTATAGGGGAAATCCCAGGATCTATGGAACTGCATCATAAAAAGAAAATAATAATAAAATGAAGAAAAGCTAAAAAAAAAAGTATTTGCTTTGACATAAGATAAATATGTCTGGACTGAAATACCCATTGGTTCCAGTGGAAGGCGGGGCTGAAAACAGAATCAACCCAGCAATTGCAACTACCAGCTGACAGGGGTCTTGGACTGTGCTGGGCCCTGTATTTGCTGGTGCATACAAGTATCTGGCCTGGGAACACCTCAGACAAAGTTTTTTTGGCAATTTCCCAAATTTAAATGCCGGACTCAGAACCCTAACCATGAAGGGACAGAAGATGGAACAAGTTAATCAACCACCTCAGCTACAGGTTGGCAACGAAATACCGGGCAAATAGATTTTATGATGGACAATGTCAATCAGCGGATTTTTCAACGACCTCATGGTGTTTGGAGGGGCGAGATTGGCAGGAATTCATAACTGGGGAACTATTGAAACTACTCGAGCGAATATCTCAGAGCATGTCCCACATGCGGGACTTGGGGTGGGTAGGAAACTGGGTGGGGCTTCTCCCTCAATATCCCCCTTTACCTCAGATATATGAAGGAAACAAGATGAAAATAATAGTCTTACCCACTTTCCTGTAGCCCTTGACCCTTTTCACCCAAATTAACTATGTAAAGTTTGTCAAAATAAAAAAAGAATTTGAAAATAATAATAATAATAAAAGATGGGCCCAGGGGGGAAAAAAAAAGATAAATATGTCAGAGGTCATCTAAAAGAAAGAGGAAAACTGAATAAATACTAGGTATTCCATATTACAGTACCTGGAAAATAGGTGACTAATAAATGAAAAAAACCAGGCTTAAGGAAGCAAAGTACTACGTATGCTTATAAGGAATATGTAGTACAGTTATGTAAGCATAGCAACAGAACTGGTTAAATACACATTTATACATATATAGAGAGCCAGTAATACTTGACAAAAGTTTATTTTGGAAGTTATTCAAAACAATCGTTTCATATTTTCTATTACACTCTAACCTGATATTGATACAAGGAGCAAGCCACACAACTAACACAGTTTTCTACACACATTACAGAGGAGGAAAAAATGGGTTGGAGTGGTAGTTTTGTGACAAAACTCCTTCCTTTGTGTGCTCGGAATCCCATATGGGCGCCCGGTCTAATCCCAGCTACTCCACTTCCCATCCAGCTTCCAGCCTGTGGCCTGAGGAAGCAATGAGAACAGCTCAAAGGCTTGGAACCTTGTATCCATTTATTTGGAATACCCAGAGGAAGCTCCTGGCTCCTGGCTTTGAATTGGCTCAGCTCCAGCTGTTGCAGCAACTTGGGGAGTGAATCAGCAGATGGAAAATCTTTCTGTCTCTCCTTATCTTTCTAAATCTGACTTTCCAATAAAAATAATAAAATAAAATAAATAAACCTTTTTACTATGCCACAAAAACTTTTCTGTTAATATGTGAAGTCTAACAGGGGTAGAAATCGGAGTTATCCAAATTTTAATCCCTTGTGTCATGCAAGCTAAACGTTAAAGGAAATGGGCATTTGACTTCATGGCTAAGATGCCCACAGCCACACTGGCATGCTAGGATTTGACTCTGGCTCCTGACTGCAGCTTCCCCAAAGCAGACCCTGGGAGGCAGCGGTGAATCAAGTCGTTGGGTCCCTGCCATCCACATGGAGAATGGCATGGAATTCTTGGCTCCCAGCCTTGACCTCAGCACAGTCCAATCTGTTACAGGCATTTGAGGAGTGAGGCAGCAGATCAGAGCTCTCTCTCTGTGTCTGTATCATTCTGTCTCTTAGCCTCTCAAGTAAAAACAACAGAGGCCAGTGATGTGGCTCATTTGGCTAATTCTTTACCTCCATGCATCAGTATCCCAACGGCACTGATTCATGCTCTTGCTTCTGCATTTTGCATCCAGCTCCCTGCTTGCAGCCTGGGAGACAAGTGAGGGATGGCCCAAAGCCTTGGGACCCTATATCCATGTGGAAAATCCAGAAGAAGCTCCTAGCTTCGGATCTGCTCAACTCTGGCCTTTGTGGGGATTTGGGAACTGAACCAGCGGATAGATCCGCCTGTCATTCTCGGTGTAAATCTACCTTTCTGACGGTAGATTTAAAAAAAAATCCTTAAAGATCTTAAACCTTAAAAAAAAAACGGGGAAAAAAGAAAGTATAGCATATGAAGCGTTGTGCAGTAAATACTTGATAATATACAACAAAAATCATCATATACACATCTAAAACAATAAGCAGAAATATTTAAGAGCAACGAAAAATTTTATTTATTTACTTGAAAGTCGGAGTTGGAGGAAGAAAAAAAGATTCACTAGTTTACTCCCCACATGGAAGAAAAGGCTGAGGTTGGGCCAGACCAGTGCCAGGTGCCAGGAGCTCCGCACTTGTCTCTCATGTAGGTACAGCAGCATTTCTATGGTGCTTTCCCCAGGATACTCTTAGAGAGCAGCACCAAATGCACCCATAGCATAAGCTGGTGTCACAAGAAGTGGTGTCACACGTATGCTATACAAATCCAGCACCAGAAATTAACTGGTATTAACTGAAAAGCAGTTAAGAAACCTTCAACTAAATAAAGCCTTTCTACAAGACAGCTAACACTTTCGTTTTTGTTCTAAAATGTTCTTTATGAATCCCTAAAAAACGTTTCAGAAATTTCTAATAAAATATATGTTATCATTACAGATTATTATTACCAATATATATTTACTAGTTAAGTTGGTTAATTAAACACTGTTATGGAATGAAAAAGCAATAAATACCTTTTATAACAATAAACTTACAATTTACTAAATGCAAATATCATTAAAAAAGCTTTAAAATGCTACAATATAAAATCCCTATCTTACTCTTTTTTTTTTAAAAGATTTATTTATTTTTATTCGAAAGTCAAATCTACAGAGAGAAGGAGAGACAGCAAGAAAGATCTTCCGTCTCCTGGTTCACTCCCTAGTGGCCACAATGGCAGAAGCTGGGCTGATCCAAAACCAGGAGCTTCCTCTGGGTCTCCCTAGTGGGTGCAGGGTCCCAAGGCTTTGGGCCGTCCTCAATTGCTCTCCCAGGCTACAAGCAAGGGGCTGGATGGGAAGTGGAGCAGCCAGAATATGAACAGGGGAATTCAAGGTGAGGAAGAAAGGCATTTTTATAAGGACACTGTTTAATTTAACTTTAGATGTTTACATAGCTGAAAAGAATGCATGTCCATGTGGACCACTGATTAAGGTTGGAAGGGTTGAGGAAAATGGAGCAAACCACTGTTTCTAATTTTCTCTTTTTTCTGTTTTGGGGGTTGGGTGTGGGCAGTAAAGTGGTAGTGCGGCGGGGAGGGCTGAGGAGAAGGGGAGAAGCCACACCCAGCATCCTGGAAGCAGTGGCTCAGTCTAACCCTGCCTACCCCATATTCTGCCCTCATGTACACCAGTGGAATTGCAACCCAGTCGGAGTGACACATAGTAACCACCACCAAGCCAAGCCCCATCTTTGCTTTCCGCACATGAGGTTATATGCTGGCCTCTTTCAGAGGGAAACATTAGAAATGATAGTTAAGATACTGTTTGAGAGCCTGAGTTATTCCCATCAATTAGGACACCCAGACTCAGTTCCAGTCTTTAGGCTTCTCCCTGGCCAAGTATGCCATTTGGGAAGTGATTCAGTGGACGGAAGATTGCTTTCTTTCTCTTTCTTACTGTCTTACCTCTCTGTAATGCTGCCTTCAAATACGTAAAAAACTCCTTGCCAGGTATCAAATTACTTTTTAAATTATAGGAAAGAGTAAACTAAGAGAAAACAACACATTCTGTGATGGCTATTATCTAACAGAACTTAGCATTTCTCTCTGCCTTTCCCTCCTACCTTCTCTTCCCAGGAGACATAATATCTGTGTTAACAAATACCCATCAGGCCTGAATCTCAGACTTCTCAACTGCTGAGAACAAATGACATGTTCTTTCCTAATAGTTTCAATGAACAGTGACTTTGAAATTAAAAGTTCAAGAATAGAATGGGGACAAAAGTATAAATAGGAATTTATCCATAAACTGAATAAAATATATGACACTTTTACTACTGCTGATTCATTGACAAGGACTTTCTCCATAATACGAAAGAGAAGAAAATGCATGCACAGACAAGCATTTAGAAAATTCGTACCATTTACTCAAAGAATGTATCCAAGATACAAAATACTTTATCCTGCTCAATTTTTGGACCAATCTCCCTGGGTTACTCCTCTAGAATTTTCCTGGTATGTGGCTGGAGAGTAAGTGGTAAATAAAGGGAACTAAGCAATTCAGAGTGCACAATATTATCATATAATGAAACAAAGCTCTTCAAATAAAACAAGGGAAAGAATGTGACAGTGTAACCACTAACCACACAAACATCCGCCTGCTTGCAGGAACAGGTAGGGCTGATGAGTAACTCCAACTGAGACCTCAGCTTTTCATCATCGCCAAGAACCTGGTTAAATTTCTTCACAAAATCTTGTGCTTTGCCAGGATCAGGCAAATTCTCTGTAAGAGAAGCAATTTTGGTTAAGACAATTACCCTACTTTCCTAAGATGAGCAATTAAAAGCATATCAGTCCAACTGATTCTTAGAAACATAATTAACAATTATAAAAACTCTGAATTTTTAGAATTATAATTAAGAATTACTGTTAAACGAAAACTTTTTGGAAAGATTTATATATTTATATTGGAGAGTCAAATCTACAGAGGAGAGACAAAGAGGAAGATCTTCCATCCATTGGTTCACTCCAAAAGGAGCCACAACACCTGGAGCTGAGCCAATCAGAAGCCAGGAGCTTCCTCTGGTCTCTCACATGGGTGAAGGGTCCCAAGGCCTTGGGCCATCCTCAACCGCTTTCCCAGGCCACAAGCTGGGAGTAGAACGGAAAGTGGATCCACTGGGATTAGAACAAGCGCACATATGGGATTCCAGCGTGTGCAAGGTAAGGACTTTAGCCATTAGGCTACCACAGTGGGTCCAAGAATTACTTTCTTTTATTAAGTATTCAATAGTAATTCTGCTAGGCAAATTGTCTACTGTGATAATTAAGCATCAGTCAATAAAAAAAACTTACTAGCTATGGTCATCAGTTTTCCAAACATGGCAGAACTGTTAGCTTCTGACTGGAATTTAAAACAAAACAAAGAACAGTCATATCCAGCAATAACTTTCCATAATAAACACTAGTACTCATTACTTCATATTTTTCATAATTGAAATTAATCCATCACAACCTACCCACAGGAAAATGGCTTACCACATTTACATTTTAAGTTGACAGCAAAGAACTGTGGAGTAGCAACAACTATTAATTTAAGACAAATAGAAGGAAAGGAAGTGTTAGCAGGAACATATTAAAAATTAGAAGAGTGACATAAACTTTTGAAGGAACATTATTTTGTTAAAAGAATGAAATTACAATAGTACAGGGCATGGAATATGAATAGAAAACTTTTCTTTGGGGATGGCATTCTATTAATATGTTTTGTGGCCTGTTAGACATATATCTTCAAATTATTCTCTCTGTAAAAAGTACTTCCCTTGAAGGCATTCTTTTTCCTTATAATTGAATATTTTAGATCACAAATTATTAAGCTATGACTCCATAGTTTAGGTTTTTTAAAATGTGGTTTTGTTAAATTTTACAGTAACAGACACACCTATTCATTTATACATTTTCTATGACTTTATACACAAAAGCAGAAATAAATCCTTGACAGTACCTAGAGAGAAGAACTTCTAATTTTACTATCTGATCATTAATAAAAGATTGCCACATCTGTTCCAGTATCCCTGGGCTCCTTAGTGTTCAGGCTTCTATACTGAGACTACCTACTCTAGTAAATGCACAGAATTTCCCAGTACTTGCAAAAACTTTTGGTAGAATTTCTCGGTTAACTAGATATTGGCAGATCCGTATCACTGATAACTTGAAAAGTCATTCTATAGTGAAAGACCAAGAATCATGAAGTGAAAAGAAATTAATAGCTTTGAGATCTAGGCCTAATATTTGAAAGTTGATAAATGATGTCTCAAATCTTGGTACCTAAAATCTTGATATATTACAAAACACCATTTCCTTGCTTGTCAAAGAAGAGTTCATTAGATTCATTCAAAAAAGAAATTCAGATTGGACAACTATAAAAACTATGCTTAATAGACATTATAAAAATTGTCAAAATATCTTCCTTGATCCATTATACAGAACTACAAAAAAACCTGATTAAATTAATACACTGCTATGAGTTTGAGCAAGTCATGAACCTACTGTAGGCTGCTTGTGCAAATCTAGCAGTTCGCGCACATGACTCCGCAGCATGTTCTGACACTTCCACATTTCATTAAGAGCTCTGTAAATCAAGATAAAAATGCAAAACATTACATAACAATACTAGAAATTGCTCAACTTTACGCTTTACCCATTCATCCTGTTTAAAGATGGTCTTCCATCTGTCTTCCCTAAATGCCCTTACCAGCGATGCTGGGCCAGGCATGAACAGGAGAGCTCAATCAGGAACTCCAAGTTGGGATTCAGGGCCTCAGTTACTGCAAACATCACCTAACATGCAACAGCAGGATGAGGGAAACAGGAGTACAGCTGGACCTCAAACCTAGAAATGCTGACAGGACTGTGTATGTTACAACAGTCTCTTAAATAAACACTGTGCCAAACAACTGTCCCTTGTGATGTGTTCTTCTAATTAGGTTTATTATCCATCCTCTGTTTTTGATAATTGCTTATTTTTACTCTCTTCAATGCATTTACGTATATTTTTATAACACATGCTATGTATCACCTGACTTTTGCTGTTACATGCAATAAATGTGGGGCCACTGCAATGGCTCAATTAACTATTCTCCCTGTATCCAACATGCATGCTCGTGTCCCAGTAGCTCCATCTCCCTTCCAGCTTCCTGAGTATGATCTTGGAGAGCAGTACTGGATGGCATAGGACCTTGGGTCCCTGTACCCATGTAGGAGTCCCAGAAGAAGCTCCTGGCACCTGAATGGCTAAGGTCTGGCCTTTTGAGGAGTGAACCAGCGGAGAAAATATCTTTCTCTTTGTCTCTCCTTCTCTGTGTAAATTAGCCTTTCCAATAAATATACAAGTAAATAAATAAATGCTATAAATTTAGATCAAGATATTTACCAGAATAATTAATTCAAAAATCAGCAAAAACACCATAAATATTTAACTGCTGTTAAATGCTCTAAATGTGAGCTATTAAATCTCATAACATTTTACTACTTAAAACTAACTAATTTTATCAATGTTTCAGACATGACTCAGAGATTTACAAACAACTTACTTCACAGCATTTGGGTCCAAACTAGCATACAGATAATACAAGCATTTCATTCTCTCTTCTGTTTCCAGGTTATGAGGGACAAGGTATTGAGCAAAGATTTTCTCTACCAACAGTCTGTGAGATAACGGGAAAAAAAATGCAAATAATACAAGAATTCTATTTTCAAGAAGCAACAGACATATTTTAACATTCTTATGCCAAGATATTATTCCAATACGACAGCTATGGGCACTGCTACAATGGAAAACAGCACATATCATTTCCTCCCTGGGAAGACTTCAAGTACAGTGATTTTAAGATTAGAGATACAGCTTCTATTTGTAGCTTTAGTATATAATCTGCCAGCATAAAATATTTGTTCTGAAGGATTAAATGGTATTCCTACAAACCGGGTATTAGGCTCTTCCAATTATTCTTCAGCAACTTAAAACAACCCTAATTTAGAAAAAACTGTATTTATAGCTATGATTCCTGAGAAATTAATTTTCAGATTATACTTCAGCTCATTTCAGCAACATTGTTAAGCAGTAAAACTGGGGAGGAAGGGAGGTCTTGCCCTCACATTCCCAGGCACAGCTGATCCTTCTCTATATAGTCTGAAATTATTAGCAATACAGAAATATTCTTGACACGAAGCTTGCATCACCACAATAAGAAACAAAAGGCTCTTCAGTCACCAACGAGCTACACATCTGGTGATGTCCAAGTACACAGTCTACTTCAACAAGACATTGCAAAGCAGGTTGTGCAACACAATGCAGAACTATAACATTCAAAAAAGGAAAACTCAGCAATTCTTAATTGCAGTCATAAAGCTGCAAAAAAGAAAAGTGATAACTAGGAATTAATGATTAGTGCTGTACTTCAGGTATCGTGTTGATTAATATTCATTGTTTTAATTATTTAATGTACATAAAAGATTAAGTGGTATCTGGTCTATTCAATTCCAAAATCCATCCATTCCTTTTTCAATATTATTATACCATCTTCCAATCACTGGAACATAATGTACACATATGCTGAAAATAGGATAGCTAAACATAAAAGGACATTTCTATTTTTTATTGATACAGTAAAAGCAAGTGTGGATTTAACCTTTCTGCAAATCCATAGGACTCACTTGTCATCAATGCTGTTCTGATAATAAATATGCAGAAGTTTATCCTTGATCCAGCTGACTTTTTCTGCTGCTTCCTTTCCTGCTTCAGCATGTAGGCAGTATTTCTTATACAGCTGAGCCAGACCCATCATAGCTTCTTTTCTCACTCGCCACTAGAAAGTGTAACATTTATAACCTTTCTTAGAGGAGTAAGAGATGAAAACTACATACCAATTTGCAAAAACGGTCATGGTTTCACTAGTAGTAAATACATGTAATCTCATGCATGTATAATAACAACAATAATAAAATAACATAGTATTGCTGCCAAAAAGAGGCTTTACCAAATGACTTAAAACATTTTGTGACTCTGTGCCTAGAAATCAGAATACTCTGAAATTAAGGCAGATACTGTTAGTCTTTGCATTTCTCCTAAAGCCAAACAGTAAAATTTAATATTTAATTCAATTATAAGTGATTAAAACATGAAAGGCAATTTGCAAAATTACTTACAAACAAAAGCCTTGCCACTTAAAATTCTTAGCACATAGTTTTTTTTTTTTTTGAAATTAACTCAGAATAATAAAGTTCACTCAAAAGTTTAGAGGAACTTCCTTCATGATTTATATAGCCAAGTTCTAGTTATTGCAAGATGTTACACGGGGAGAAAAAAAGCAGAAGAGAAAGGTAGACAGAGCAGCTGACCACAGAAATCTACAACAAGGAAAATAAACAAAAAATACATATATAAAATAAAAGTACTTCTCGAAAAAAAATCAGGAGAGGACCAATTTCTGTTTATATTTGAATACTTACAATTTTTGTCATTTCTTCATTTTTAGCAGTTAGCTGATAGAATGAAATTTCATTCACATAATATCCATTTAAAGATATTTTTTGACATCTTCTACCATGAGCCAAAAATGTGTGTGCACTAAAATGTATGTTTAATCTTGGTTCAAACACCCCACGTAACAGAATGCAAATGTCCAAAGGCTCATCCTGTGGCCATCTAATGTATTAGTCTAAAATCATGCAGGTACTTTTAGAACAGAAATATAGTTTTTCAGAGATACAATTACTCAATTTTTGCAGAAATTATGAAATAAATATGGATAGAATGGAAATATTTAAAAAAATAAGCAAATAACACACATGGTAATATCTTAGATATGAGAAATACAGAAAAGGTACTCATTGAACTTATGGCTGGGGGGGACAAGAAAAATCCTTAAAATTAGAAATACTGACAATTTAAATAAAATAGTTTTACAAAATTTGTCTTATAACTATTTTAAAAGAATGTTACTATATTTAAAACCAAAACTAGAGCCTGACATGTAGTCTAGTGGTTAGAGTCCTCGTTTTGCACATGCCAGGATCCCATGTGGGCACCAGTTCTACTCCCAGCAGCCCCACTTCCCATCCAGCTCCCTGCTTGCGGCCTGGGAAAGCAGTGCAGGATGGTCCAAAGCCTTGGGACCCTGCAACCTCATGGGAGACCCGGAGGAAGCTCTGGGCCCCTGGTTTTGGATTGGTGTATCTCTAGCCATTGCAAACTCTTGGGAAGTGAATCAGCGAACAGATGATCTTCCTCTCTCTTTCCTCCTCTCTGTAAAACTGACTTTCCAATAAAATAAATAAAGTCTTAACAGAAAAAAAGATTTTTGTTTCCTTAACTCTGAAAAATGTAAGTAAATTAACATGTTTCTACAGGCTAGATAATTCTCAATAGTAACACAAATAAGACAGCAGCTGCATAAGAGCAACTTTTATGGATCTCAGTAGATGTCAATGTAGTCTACTTTGCATACCTCGCTCTGGCTCTTGTACATGATTTTTTTGATGAGGGAGCATTAAGAAAAATTTCTGGGGAAATGAAACTAAAAATTTATTATACTTAGATGCAAAACAATATGGAAATCGATGTATAAAAAGGACATTAAATACCTCTATATAAAATGTATATTATATAAATGATTAATTTCATTTTTTGAACAAAAACTATAATTCCATTTCAACATTCTGATGTCCCTTTGTATTCCACATTTCTAACTGCTTCAAATGGAAGAAAGTGCACAAAAGACAAAACACATACACATAAAACAAAAAAGGTGTTTACCTTAACCTAGGAATATGGAAATATCACTTTCTCAGAATCATAATTTACTTTTAGTTCAATAAAGACATATTCAACTAAGTGAGTCAATTGTATTTGAAAATGTTATGCATAGGAATGTTTAATTAGCATACTCTTGAGCACTGATTCTGCAATTCTGTTACTCCAGGTACACTACAAAAGAATCTCATATCAAGAAACAAAATCTGCAAATTCCAAAGTATTCACTGACACAGGAAGAATGCAAGTTAGTATCTATGTAGCATCGTTATTTATTCGGTTGATTTTCAGGAAAGACTTCACATGCAGCAGAATAGAATATGACATTATTTAGCAAACACTTAAAACACAGTAACAAAAGAATAAAATTCCTCAGCTTTACCCGTTTATCCAGTGTTCTTTCTCGTACAAAGCCAAGCAACTGATCATTTACTAACGTGAGGTCTCTTCTGGCAGCTGTTATTATGGTAACAATGACATCGTGACGAATAGCTTCTTCGGGGTCATGTGATCTAACCTTCAAATATTCTGTTAGATAAAAATCTAAATGTTAGCAGTGTAACTTGTCATGATTTAGAATTTCAGAAAAGGCTACTGCTTCCAACATTTTCCTCACACACACACACACACACACACACACACAATTCTGTGAAAGAATTACAGAGATGGAGGGGGAGCATCAACGCGCAGGGGCAGTAAAGCTCCCTGCCCTGGCAGGCAGAGGGCACAGCAGGGTAGGCCTTCCTACGTTCCCAGAAGATGTGTGAAGGGACCCTGTGAGACTTAGGTCTTGGTACGAAAGTGAATGGTGCCCCTGGGGCAATAATGGTCCCTACATGCCACCTGAGGCAGGACTTGTCTTTTTTGTGAAAATGCCAGGGCAAAAGCTGTTAATGTATGCATAGAACAGATTCTTGAGAAAAGTATTTAGAACTCAAAAGTTTATTTGGGGGGAAATAAAAAGTAGAGCAGCCAGAACATGAACCAGCACCCAAACAGGACGCTAACTTGACAAGCAATGGCATTACCTGTTGAGCTTCAATGCTAGCCCCTGTTGAGCTTCTGTTTATATTAAAACAATGTTTATCAATTGTGGCATGATTTAAAGTCATTTTATTTTTAACATAACTGTACACAATCACAAAACTGTACTTATTATTGTATAAACATATCTTAACAACATGCTCTACAAAATAATCCTGGCAGGACTGTGGCGCCTCTATCCATTTGGGCACCAACTGAAGACCTAGCTGTTCCAGTTCTGATTCAGCTCCTGGCTAAAATGGCCGAGAAAGCAGCAGACAATGGCCCAAGTCATGGGGCCTTGCACCCATGTCAGAGACCTGGAGCAATCTACTGACTTCTGGTTTCAGATTGGCACAGCTTCAACCATTGTGGCTCTCCTGTTCTTTCTGTAACTTTGCCTCTCAAACAAAAATATATTTTCTTTAAAAATTTGTATTATTCAGTGCAAAAAAAAAAAAAATCAAACACTGTTTAATCTACATAGCTTGGTATTTCAGTTACAAAAAGTGAAGGCTTAAAAGAAATTACTGGGCCCAGTGTGGTATCATAGTGGCTAAAGTCTTCGCCTTGCATGCCCAGGATCCCATATGGGCACCAGTTCATATACCGGCTGATCTACTTCCCACCCAGCTCCCTGCTTATGGCCTGGGAAAGCAATAGAGGACAGCCCAAAGCCCTGAGACCTTGTACACAGGTGGGAAGAAACTCCTGGCTTCAGCTCAGCTCAGCTGAGGCCATTTCAGTCACTTGGGGAGTGAGCCAGCGGATAGAAGATCTTCCTCCCAGGGACTGCTTTTCTTTGTAAATCTGACTTTCCAAAAAAAAAAAAAACAAAAAAAAAAACCAAAAAACAAAAAAACAAGTAAATCTTAAAAAAAAAATAATTGTTTATAAAAAGTTAATTGATAAAGTATACATCTGCATATTGAATAATGTACAATGCAGAATAGAGGGTGGCATTGTGACATTTCACCACAAGCGACTAATTGGCACATCTGTATCCCACCCATATCAGAGTGAGCAGTTCAAGTGCCAGCTTTTCCCCTCTCCATCTAGCTTCTTGCTAATGTATTTCAGGCTGTGGATGACGGTGTATTAGTTGGGTTCTGGCTGAACCCAACCAAGGCAGAACTAGGAGTCCCAGATTCCTGGTTTGGGCCTGCCTTAGCTTCAGCTACTTCAGACATTTGGGAAATTAAACAGCAGATGAAAAAACCTTTCTGTTCCACTCCCTCTCCCTTCTTCCCCCCATCCCCTCTTTCCCTCTAAATCTTCTAAAGAAATAAATCTTTAATAAAAATCAATAAGGCCCAGAATGCTTCAGAAACTCTAACAAATGCTTCATTGAATGAAAATATTCATTATAAAAGAATAAAAGTTACTTCTCATGTATCGTGGTGAGCAATACCATTTTGAAAGAAGCCACTTAATTGTTAAAAGTTTTTCTTTTCTAAAAAAGATTTATTTTTCTAATTATTACACGAAAAGCAGATTCATAGAATGAAAAAATAATACAAGAAGGTCTTAATTATGTGGGTTCTCTCCCTAGTTGGCTGCAGTGGCAAAGCTAAGCTTTGCTGATCCAAAGCTGGGAGCCAGGTGCTTCTTTTGGGTCTCCCACATGGTTGGAAGAACCCAACAACTTGGGCCATCGTCCATGGCTTTCCCAGAAAGCAAGCACAGAGCTGAATGGGAAGTGAAGCAGCTGGGACACAAACCTGCTAGTGCCACATAGGTGGAGGATTGGCCTGCTGAGTCTTGGTACAACCCCACCCCACTTCTTATATTTTATTTCAGAGGCAGAATTATGCAGAAGAAAAGGCAGTTTTCCATCTGCTAGTTCACTCCCACAATGGCTGCCAACTACTGGGTGAGGACTAGACCAAACCAAAGAGTCAGGACTGTCTTTGGAGTATGCCACGTGGGTATTTTGTCACCTTCTGTTGTTGTCACAGGTGCATCATCAAGGAATCAGAAAATAGAACAGCTAGGATTCACTGGTGCCTTTCTGGGATCCTGGTGTCATAGAAAGTTACTTAAACCACAACACCACAACAATAGTCCCAAGAGGATTTTAGGTTCACCTGAAGAATGACACATTCTAGTCCAATTCACAAGATCATCATTTTCTCACTTATCACTAGTTAAATTAGAATACTAAGTCACATGGGTATAATGACTGATTTCTGTCAGGTCTGGGATCATCTCAGATGAAGTTTTTTTGGAGATTCCTCCAACTGAACTGCTGATCTCAGAACCCCAACCATGAAGAGACTATGTCAGCCAATGGATTCTGAATACATTTCATCATGCTTGGAATGGCGAGACTGGCAGCAATTCAGAATTGTTGAACTAGCAGTTTTGATAGAGCCTCGGAGCACGCCTCACATTGGGGACCTGGGATGGGAGGGAGGTTGAGAGGAGCTTCTCCCTTTGTTTCTCCCCTGACCTCAGATACAAGGGAAGAAATGATATTAGTGTGGAGACAATGGTATTACCCACTTCCCTGTAGCCCTTGACCTTTTGTACCCTATGCAACTAAGTAAAATTACTTTTAAAAATTCTAAAATGAAAACTTCACAAAAAAAATGTGTTTCTGAATTCCAAATCATTCCTCAATACTTTCCAGTCAATTCCAAGATTAAGGAATGAACATTTCAGGTACAATATTGCTTTAAGGATACAAACATAAAAAAACTGTTAAAATCTATTTTAAAATAGAAGTTGGAGGGACTGGCACATTTACTTTACTGGTTAATTTATACTTTCAGGCACCACATCCCATATTGGCGCCGATTCATGTCCCGGCTGCTCCACTTCCCATCTAGCTCCCTGATTCTGGTCACGGAAGGCAGCGGAGGATGGCCCAAAACCTTGGGACCGTGCACCCAGCATGGGAGACCAGCAGGAGGCTCCTAGCTTTAGACTGGCTCAGTTCTGCCAGTCAAGCCAACTGAGGAATGAAGCAATGAATGGAAGACCTATTTCTGTCTCTGTTTTTCTAATTCTGCCTTTTCAATAAAAATAAACAAATCTTAAAAAAAAGTTACAAACATTAAAAATTTCTGATCATATTTATATTAAACCAGGTAGCTTACCTGTGAGATCCTTTGCTAAATCTGGGTGATTCATTAGACAGTGACTGGCAAATTTCACACTTTCTAATCTCACAGGAACATGAATGTCATTAAATCTACACACACAAAAAAATAGTAATCACTAATTCTAAGACAAAGTAATTATATTCAAGTAAGGTATAACTAATACATAAATACTTTAAAAAATTACTTACAAGAAACTTGTAACAGCTAAATTCTTCTGAAGAAAACATTAATCTCACACTTAACACAAAACTAACCATGTAGACCTGACAAGCTCTTAAAATTATGCTACCTAAGCAAAATTCAAAGCACAAAAAAATCTATTTGAAAAAAAAAATGTTATAAAATGGAAACACTGAGAAATTTGAGGTAGAAGGCAAACCATAAAATAACAAGCAGAAATGTGTGAGTCATAATCTCTCATCACAAAACTTTCACCTGCTTAGGATCAACTTTTATTCAAATGTTCTTTAAAGTCTAGTAGAGAGCAAACATTCCATAATATGGAACACGCAGACATTATATAATAAGGATAGGAATAATAAGGCTAAGAGGGGCAACTTCAAATTGAAAAATAACTGGACAACTTTGAAAATAAATTTATTGCTGGGGCCAGGACGGTGGTGCAGCAAACCTAAACTGCCACACTGTGGCTCTGACATCCCAGGCAGGTACCCTTTCAAGTGCTGGCTGTTGCACTCTGATCCAGCTTGCACCTTACAGCCTGAGAAAGCAGCAAAGGATGCTTCAAGTCCATAGGAACTTTCACCCATGTGGGAAATCTGGGAAGCTATGCTCTGGCAGCTGTGATCATTTGGGGAATGACCAGTGGATGGAAGACTTTATTTTGCCTTTTCTCTGTAAAAGCTGCCTTTCAAGTGAAAATAAACCTCTCCAAAATCCATTAAAAGTGAAAAAAAAAATCATCAATGCTTATTAAGACCTTTGAAATGGTCTTCTGAAAAGCTAACCTCTTATTATGCCACTGTCAAGAGATTTTTCAGAAACTAAGATGATCACTATTAACACTTATGATAAACTTATACTGGCAGAATACTGAAACGATTCTCCCAATTAGTTGAATTAAACCATGGTGAATCTCAAAAGGTTCCCACAGCATTACTACTGAAATATCTACATTTCAAGCAAAAGATTAAAAGATTTAACACTTTTTCAAATTAACCATTAAGTTGAATAGAACTCAACCACTCCAAATTCTTCGGGAAAAAAATCACATTTATGTTGAGGAAGATTATACTTTCCATTTCAGAAACACAATTTATGAAACTGGTGAAAAGCATTTTAACCAACTATATAAATGACAGCCCAAGACAGTTGTAAATCGATTAATTTTTAGACTGATGACAGGGATTCTTAGAATTGCACCAGTAGATCTTTACTTTCATGATCTATATGAAAATTTACTTCTAAGAAAAAGGACAAAAGCAGAGCTCTTCAATCTGCCTGTTTATCCACCAACGGCACACAAAGCTGAAGCTGGGCAGTCTGAAACCAGGAATTTCTTCATATTCTCCCACATGGGTGCATGGGACCACGGACGTGGTCTGCCTTCATAGCTTTCCCAGGCCTGTGAGCAGGGAGCTGGATCAGTGTGAAGCAGTCTGGACCCAAACTGAGGCCCACATTGGATATAGCAGCTTTCCCCACTGTGCCATAGCAGTGGCCCTATTTGTTCAAAAATTAAGGAAAAACTCAGATAATGTCCATCTGTTTATTCTGATAACATTGGCATAGAAAAGACAGTAAGCTTTATTTAATTTTTTTTCACAGCGTGTTCCCCAAGAATGATGCAAATAAAATTAATCAGTAAGTTTTCATTGATACGGTTTCGATCAACTGACCAGCTTATAAAATGCAAAAAATTATATATATCAGATATTACTCTCTTACCGTCCAAGAAAACACTGCCAAAGAGGACGATTTTGTGTTGCCAAATCAGAATCTTTAGAACCAAATAACTTAGCTAGAAGTCGAACAACAGCTAATCGTTCCTCCCCATCATTGCTCTAAAGGACAAAAAAATGAAGCTCAAACTTTATTCATCAATTTACGGCAAACAGCATGAATTTTATTGAGTCAAAATCGACATTTCTGAACAAAACAGAACTCTAAATATCATACTATCATTTAAATGAAGAGATTGATATGATTTTATTTCATGTTGGATTAGTTAGCTGGTTCTTCACTTTCACTTCAAACTCTCCCGACTGTGTATTTGTATCAATTTCACCGCTTATTTCCATACTTGTAGATGTACTAGCAACATAAAGACATATAATTCGAATCTAACACTATCCAGGAAGTCTTGAAACATCTTTTAGGGACATCACAATACTTAACTGGCTAACCCTCCACTGAAAGTGTCAGGATCCCATAATGGTGCAGTTTGTGCCCCAGCTGCTCCAATTCCCATACAACTCTCTGCTTGTGGCCTGAGAAAGCAGTGGAAGATGGTCCAAAACCTTGGGACTTTATACCCCTCGGGGAGACCCAGAAGAACCTCCTGACATCAGACAGGTTCAGCTCCGGCTGTTGCGACTATCTGAGGAGTGAATCAGCAGACAGAAGATCTCTCTGACTCTCCTTTACTCTGCAAATCTGCTTTTCCAATACAAATCAGAGGGAAAAAAAAAAGAAAGAAAGAAATGTGTTGTGGGCCTAGCACAGTAGCCTAGTGGCTAAAGTGCTTGCCTTGCATGCACGCCAGGATCCCATATGGGCGCCGGTTCTAACCCCAGCAGTTCACTTCCCATCCAGCTCCATGCCTGAGGCCTGGGAAAGGAGAGGACAACCTAAAGCCTTGGGACCCTGCACCCATCCTGTGGTAGACCCAGAAGAGGCTCTGGACTCCTGGCTTCGATCAGCTAAGTTCCGGCTGCTGCTGCCATTTGGGGAATAAATCATCAGTTGGGAGATTCTTTAAAAAAAAAAAGAAAGAAAGAAAGAAAGAAATGTGTTGAGCAACAGAAGTTCCAACACAAGCAAAACTCTACACATTGGAGAATACAACAATGAAAAATATTAATTAAGAACATAAAGGAATACTAATTCTTTACATCTGAACAGAATCTTAAGATGGAGTCATACAAATTGAACACTATAAAAAAAAGGCAAAAACTTAGTGTTTCTTGTTAACAGCCTTTTCTTTTTTATTCAAATTGAGTTTGACTGACTTGGACTGAGGTCTTGTCTCCAACCTTCAGCTTACGCCATCTGGGCCACTGATGGAGATCAATGGTTTGGAGCTGTATCTTAATGTCTCTAAAATAAATAAATAAAATTGAGAACTAAAAAACAATCACACTTTCACTAGAAAAATAAATGGCAATATCTAAAACCCAATGCTAAAATATTTTGGTTTGTAAATACAATCTTCTATGTCTAAAACACCGCCATCTATGCCAAAAGCAGACAATGCAAAGAAGGATAAACTTAAAGACCAGAGAATTTAATCCCTTATCCATCAATGTTTAATGCTCAAGCACAATGGTTTGGAGAAAAACTAGTCATAAAATCAACAGATACAAAAAGTGAAAATTGTCAACCTTTAATGATGGAAATCAAAACTTTAGATTTTCTCATACTATCTATTAATACTAGCAGTTTTGAAGATTCGTTTTTATTGTAAAGGCAGACATGCAGAGAAGAGAGACAGAAAATAATCTTCCATCCGATCATTCACTCCCCAAATGGCTGCAACGGCTGGAGCTGAGCCGATCTGAATACAGCAGCCAGCAGCTTCTTCTGGGACTCCCACGCGTGCAGCAGGGTCCCAAGGCTTTGGCCAACCTCTACTGCTTTTCTAAGCCACAAACAGGGGGCTGGATGGGAAGTGCAGCAGTCAGGACACAAACCAGCGGCCACATGGGATCCCAACAAATACAAGGTGAGGATTTAGCCACTAGGCTACCATGCTGGGCCCCACTAGCATGATTTTTAAAATAATAATTTATCCATTAACTGTCCAACATAACAATGAATGGGTTATGTAGTTGTAATATAAACCCATGCCAACATAATTTGATCACATGAAGATGATGCACTAACTATATACTACCTCAATCACAATACACATTTTGCTACACAAAGAAAAAAAATGACACTCTACAATTTACAGATGACCTTATAAAAGAAATTTAAAAAACAACATTAGTTTCAATTTTTGTCCAGTCCTAGCAAGAACAGTCCAGAAGAAATTTCTGTGAAAACCTAATTTGTTAAATTTCAAGAATAAGTTCTAAATCTCTCTCTTTGTATCTGCAAATGTCTTAAACAATCACTGAGGTACATTTCTTGCTAAATGCAGCCAAGGCTTGTCCATTAAATACTCATTTGAGAATCACATGAACATATTGTAAATTATACACACAGCCATATGAGGTAGCACAAAATAACACTAAAACAAAATACATTGTGAATTTGAAACCAACATTTTTCTTTTGTTTTAAAAGGATTGTAACTAAGGACTCTGAACTATTTTTTAATTTCTTTATTTTTGACAATCTTTACATGGTTAATTAGGGCACAAAGGTTCAAGGGCTACCGGAAAGTGGCTAAGACAGCCATACCACCATGAACGTGCTAAGATAATTATAGCTAAGACAATTTCCTAGTCTAGCTGATTAGTACATATTAGTGTCAAAAGGACAGCCTAATCATTCATGTTACGTGATGTGTGTGTGTATACACACTTACATATATACACACACACGAATATATATTTATATATACATATATATACATATATATACATACATATATATATATATATATATGCTACATATTAATCTAAATCTTCACTTAGAACCAGAAGATGTATATTAGTAAAGGTAGGATTGCAGTAAGGAACAACCAAGATAGAGATGATGATATAAATTCTTTTTTTTTTTTTTAATTTTTTTTTATTGGAAAGGTGGATATACAGAGAGGAGAGACAGAGAGGAAGATCTTCCGTCCAATGATTCACTCCCCAGGCGGCCACAATGGCTGGAGCTGAGCCAATCCAAAGCCAGAAGTCAGGAGCTCTTCCGGGTCTCCCACGCGGGTGTAGGGTCCCAAAGCTTTGGGCCGTCCTCGACTGCTTTCCCAGGCCACAGGCAGGGAGCTGGATGGGAAGTGGGGCTGCCGGGATTAGAACCGGCGCCCATATGGGATCCCGGGTGTGCAAGGCAAGAACCTTAACCACTGCACCATCGTGTATGGTGGTGCAATAGGGAAATACTCCGCCTGTGGTGCTGGAATTCCAAATGGACACAGGTTGGAGTCCTGGTTGGTTGCTCAACTTCTGATCTGGTTCCCTGCTGTTGCCCTAGGAAAAGCAGCCAAGGATGGCTCAATTCCTGAAGCCCTTGCACCTATGAAGTAGTCCTGGAAGAGGCTACTGGCTGTCGGCCTCAAAAGGGTTCAGGTCTAGCCTGGGAGTCAAGCAACAATTAGAGGATCTCTTTTTCTCTATCTCTCCTTTCAAATAACCAAAAAAATCTTTTAAAAAAGACATTCTTGAAAATAAGTCACATTCATTTACTTGTAGAGCCTGTTTAGAAAATGAGACCCTATCAATGCAGAGCAGGGATGACATAAAGGAGTAACAGACTATTACAATAAGCTGAAAAGCTCACAGCCAATTTAAGAAGCCACTAGTACACAAATTCCAGCCACTGTGTTGTCATACAGAAAGCAAGGGCCCAACAGGTCAAGTTTCAGATTTTCTTAAAAAAAGAAAATATAGACAAAAACAAGTAAAAATTTGATTATGAAACTTAAAATACGTCAAATGAAACATATTTTGGAGCTGGAGTCATTTTTGTATCAAGAACCTATAAAAAAAATTGGGGTGGGTGTGGCACCGTGGCCTAGGAGCTCAAAGTCCTCACCTCGAACATGCTGGGATCCCATATGTGCCCTGGTTCTAGTCCCGGCAGCTCCACTTCCCATCCAACTCCTTGCTTGTGGCCTGGGAAAGCAGTTGGGGACAGACTAAAGTCTTGGGACCCTGCACCCACGTGGGAGACCCAGAGGAGGATCCAGGCTCTGGGCTCCTGGCTTCAGACTGGCTCAGATCTGGCCATTGTGGCCACTTAGGGAGTGATGGCTTTTCAATAAAAAATAAATATTAAAAAAAAAAAAATCCGGGTGCACATAGCCACTATTTATAACAGGTTCCTTCAGTTTAAATTAACTCCACAATGGAAATCAGATAGTCTGAATCCTAATCTGCCTATCATTCGATACTGACGATCGCACTGAAGAGTTAAACAGATCTGACTTCATATACTCAGACTGTGAAACAGATGGAGAAAAATGTTTAATGTCTCCACCTGGAAATAATTTAGTAGGCAACATGCAACTGGGTAAAATTTTTCAAAATTAAAAAAATTTAGCTGCATAACAATGAATACCTTTTATTAACAAAATATTATGTCTAATATAATACCATTTCCTTGTCTATTAAATATGCCACTGTATTTACCAGTGTTTGAGAACCTTTATATTATACCTTTGCTATTAAATTATTTTACCTGCATGAGAAAAAATTTTATTCAAATAACAAAAAAATTTGACGAAATATAATAAACTGAAATCATTTTATTTTTTACAGTTATACAAATATTATCTGATACACTTTTCAGTTTGAAAATGTCAATCCTACCTTCAATTTGAATTCAAGCTGCGGCATGACAGATAATAACAGATGAGGATCTATAGCAAAGAGTTCCTGAATCAGATCAAATACATGTTCTGACAAATCACTCACTGATGATCTTCCGAGCACCAAGACTTGATTGAAAAACTACAGGCAATATCAAAAACAAAAAATTAAACATTTTGCATAAAATCTGATATTTTTGTTTTTTCAGAAACCTAATGAGGTGTTACATACAGAACACGTCTAATAAATTAGTACAACAGATTAGGAATTAATCACACAACTACAGAAAATACAGACAGAAATACTTACATTGGCAATGCATGCCTCAATAGTCTGAACTGTTCTTTTCAAGAGAACTTTTGCAAGGTCAAAGGACTGTTTATTTAAGTTCTGAAAATCAACAAAAACATGTGAAGTTACAAATAAATTTATAAGATAACATCATCAAAACACAATAGTTTTTAAATCTACTAAAATATGAAATAAAAAAATGCCCTCAGTTCCATTCAAGGTTTTACTAAGTGTCTCCCAGTAAGGTGACCTTTAATACTGAAGTCACTAAGTGACCTGATTGTCAGTTATCTGTTAATGCAAACTGACAAGTACTTCCACATATCCTACAAGAAAAGACACACATCTAAACCACATGCTTACCATTTCCTTATTGAACTTGAAACTGACCCAGATAAGAAGGGTTCTATCAACTCCATAAAGGACTATGACAAATATTTTAGCTTTCGTAAGTAATAGCCATCACTGCAACCGTGATGTTGCAGAATGAAAGCAGTTATAAACATAATGAAAAACACATGATAGTGCTCCACTACAAGCCTATGAAACTCCGTCTCCCAATCTGAAAGGGTAGGTTAAAATCCTAGTAAACACCTGAAACCACAGATCGCAATAAACACAGATGGTTCAGCATCCATCGTCTGAAATGCTGGGAACAAGGTGTGCACTAGAATCACCAGTAGAGAAACGGATGTATACATGATATCATGTGAATGGGACCCAAATAAATGAAAGACAAAAATCATTTTTCATCTATCTTTTATATGGACTGAAGGTAACTATATACAGTATTATTAGGCTGAAGTCAGTGGTAGCATTTTCCACTTGGTTTCCTGATGGCCAGGATTTTGTAGTATTTTGTGATTCAAGCTACACTATGGTATTTCCTATTCCTCAGCATTCTGTTCTTTCCTGAAGCAAAGAACTTTTACCTGTTTATACTTAAGAAAACACTTTAAAGCTTCCACTTTGTCTTATCTGAATTACTAGCACAACTACTCCTGCATCTTGGGATTTATATATTAAATTAACAGTTACTTTAACAAAAGATTGTAATCTCAAGTCAGTCTGGTAACTAAGATGCCTACTAAATGACAACTTGAGGGGTGGCCATATACAGTGTGAATATAAAGAAAAGGGGGCTAATTCATGAGCGAGAGTAGAGCAGTACAAGATTTGTTCCCTATATTAGAACAATGTGCAATCTTAAACTTAACAACTATTTTCAGAAATTTTCAAATTAGCACTACTGCAATGTAATTGACTGTGGGCAACTGAAACTGCAAAGTGAAACCATAGTTATGGGAAAACTACTGTAATTACACAATTAAAAAAATGGTATATATTTGATCCACTAATCATGGCACCCTACTCTACACTTTTATCCCATTGGGCAAAGAAATTACTCTAAATCAATACTTTATTTGTCACACAAAGGGTGTATTTATTACTCATAAAGTACATACAGCTACAATATAAATACCAAATATCAGATGTAGTGAGAAAAAGAGTGACAGGGAGAGATCTATCCACTGGTTCATTCCCCAAATGTGTCTAACAGCCAGAGCTGAGCCAATCCAAAGCCAGGAGACAAAAGTTTCTTTCCGGTCTCCCAGGTGGGTGCAGGGTCGCAAGGCTTTGGCCAACCTCTACTGCTTTCCCAGCCAAACAGGGAGCTAGATGGGAAGTGGAGCAGCCGGAACATAAACCGGTACTCATATGGGATCCTGGCTATTACAAAGTGAGGATTTAGCCACTGAGCCATTATGCCAGGCCCTATATCTCTAAAAAAATTTACTCTGCTTGAGATATACTCCCCTTTCCCATACGCTCAAAATTTTTACCAGTGATAGGTTTGTTTCTTAACAGCACTTGGAGAGCCAAGTGAATACATGAAAGTCACTTATTGTGAACAGTATGACTGGACACCTAGCATCTGAAAGTAGGATACTGAACCAACTGAGGAAAAGGGCACTGGGAACTTATGAGGAAAGTGCAGTAGAAGAGCTTGTAATGAGCCAATTCCTCTCATTTTCTAGGACTTGCTAGGGAGAAATTAAAAACAGGATGTGAGGAGAAATTATTTGCTCTGAATCATCCTGTTCTCCCTAATATCAACCCTGCAGTTCTGGCTTCTGCCCAAATGGTGTTCTGAAAACACCTAATGAAAAAAGGTACAATATGGGATCTAAAAAGGAATCCAAACTCAGTTTCTAAATCTATGACACAAAGGAAGAAACCAAAAAGACCGTATCTCAACCTTCAAAAATTCTAGATCAATTGTAAGTGGCAAATACAAAACATCTTTAGATTTCCAGAAATTAGTACTTAACTGAGGAAAATGTTGTATAATGTTAAACAGATCTTCTAACACTAATGTACTAATCATAATATGGAAAGTGATAGTATGAATAATGACAAGGGATTGCATATGGTAAAAGCAGTATTTCATTTGTATTTGTAGCCCTATGTAGGTATTACTCTTTAATATCAGCACACTATACAAACCTTATGGGCTGGAATGAGGTTAATGAGAATGGAGTCCAATAATTCTTGAGTAACTCCATCACCTTCCATGATGATAGAACTCATCAAATCCAGCATATGCATTTGTACTTTCTTATTGTGGCTATTACTAAAAATAAGAAAAAAATCAGGTGTAAAAATCAATTAAACTTCCTATTTAAAAACAACAATCCTAAATATAAATAAATTTTCAACTGAAGGATTTCACAAATGATACAAAGCATTTTTCAATGTTTAATTTCTCCTTCTATTGACAACTAGCAGTTATATTATTGCAAAGTATTTTATAGCCATAGAATCTGAGAGGTAAAATCTTCATATTTTTCTTTTCAAAAAAGGAAAAAGAAAATATTTAAATGAATTATGTCTATACAAGGATTCCATGAGTGAGTTAATTCAGCATAATGTCAACTTCAAAGGAAGGCCATTTGCTTAAGTGTCTCAGACTTTAAAAGGTGATACAATAGGGCTGGTGTTCTGGTGCAACATGTTAGGCTGCTGCCTGAAATGCCAGTAAACCGTGGGCTCTGGCTGTGGTCCCAGCTGCTCCACGTCCAAACCAACTTCCCGCAATGCACCCAGGAAAGCAGCAGAAGGTGGTCCAAGTCATTGGGACCATGCACAATTACGGGATACCAAGATGAAACTCCCAACTCGTGAAGTCAGCCAGGCCAGGCCAGGCCAGGCCAGCCATTCTAAGCATTTGGAGGGGGGAGAGGGGAATGAAATCAGCTGATGAGATTCTTTCTTCCCCTTCTCTTTTTTTCTAACACTGCATTTCAAATAAATAAAAAATACACAAATAAATAAATGCATCTTTTTAAAAGAATAGGAATAAAATTACTATATGCTATAGAATGTGTAGGTTTTGCTTCTAACTATAAAGCCAGGGTACCTATCTATTTTTACTATCTCAGAATATATGTGTACATATACACACATACACATGGCGGACTGACATAGAAGAGACAGAGAGAGGAGAGTGAGAGAGGGAGATCCCGTTTGCCAGTTCACTTCCCAAATAGTTGCAACGGCTGGAGCTAAGCCAGTCCAAAGCCAGGAGCCAGGAACTTCCCCCGAGTCTCCCATATGACTGCAGAAGCCCAAGGATATGAGCCACCCATTGCTGCTTTTCCAGGCCATAAGCAGAGAGCAGGATTAAAGTACAGCTGCTGGTAAATTAATCCACAACGCCACACAGGGAATAAGTTTTTAAAAAGACCTTATTTAATTTTAAAGATAAAGTTAAGTTGAGAGTGGTTTTGCATTTATTGGTTATCTCCTCAAGTTGCCACAAAGGCCAGGGTTGGACCAGGTAAAAGCCAGGCGCCTTGTCCAGGTTTCCCAAGTGAATGAAGGGGCCCCTGGACCATTCTCCACTGCTTTCTCATTTGCTGGGAGCTAAACTGAAGTGGAGCAGCCGGGACAAAAAGCAGCACCCACATGGGATACCAACATCAAGGTAGTACATTAATCTGCTAAAAAGCAGTAATTATGGAATTATAAAATTCCAAAAATGGAATTATAGCTCCAAACATGGAATAATCAGTTATGCTATCATAAACACATGGAGAAGTTAAAATCAATACAAAGTCTATTTCAATACCTCTCACACACAACTTTTAAATAATTAAGAGGTGGACACTGCCTAGACACCATTTGACATGCATGACTGCATCAAGAGCACAGAAACTCTACACCCAGCTCTACTAACTCCAACTTCCTTCTCCTAAACTCAAGGGACTGGGTGACTGCCACCCACAGAAGACATGTGGATTGATTCCTAGCTTTGAGCTATTAATCCAGCTTGGGGCAATGGTGGATATATGAAAAGTGAACCACTCAACAGCAGCCATCTTTGTCCTCCTGCCTCTCAAGTAATCCTAAACAACCAAACAAAACCCACAAAATTTCAAAGAGTGAATAATAATCTTCTTTGGCATTTAAAGGCAAAACTAAAAGGGTAAATTCAACACTTTATCGGAAAACCACATTATTAGTTTTCTTCAACTCCCAAACAACCCTCTGGCATGTCCACTCACAAGTGCTGTGTTTATCTTCTCTTTTTTCAAAAAGAGTTCTTCATCTATTGGTTTCATTCCCTTTAATGGTCCCAATGGCCAGGGACAGGCAAAGCCAGAACAAAGCCTGCAGCCTGGAGTTTCAATGGGTCTCCCCCATAGGTGACAGGGGCTCAAACACTTAAACCATATTCTACCGCTTTTCCAAGGCCAATGGCACTGGATCCCAAGTAGAGCAGCAGGGATACAAATCAGTTCCCATGTGATGCTGGCAGCACAGCTGCTGGCTTTACCCTCTGTGCCACAATTCTGGTTTCTTCTTCATATTTATAAAAGCCTAACATTATGAAGAATCAACTATATGGTTCTATATGTGTGGGGGAGGGCAAAAGGAGAGGTGTTAAGTGGGGAGAAAAGGAAAGATACGTAGCTTGAAATTTAAAAAAAAAACACTAAAGTATTTGCTACTGAAATCCATATACATTTGAGCATAATAAAAAAAAAAGCAAGGGGAGACAAACAAAAAGTCAACCTGATAATTTTTACAAACTTTATCAATCTAAATCAGACAGCTAAAGACTTCCAGTCATGAGGCAACATGGAAGACAGAATTTACTATTTAACACACCAAACATATTCAGATATTGGATGTCATGCACATATTGCTAAGTAAGGGAAAACCCATGAAGTGCTTCCAAAGTACTTAAGAACACATTTCTTGATGACACTTTATTTACTGTGAACAAAAAAAAGTAGAAATTGGGGTTTAGGTTCTCTTACTCAGCAACCTGTCCTTGGCAAATCAGGTGTAATTTATCTGGGGTTAGCACTGTGGCACAGTAGGTAAAGACACCACATGAAGTGTCAACACCCCAACTGGACATTACTTCAAGTCCCATCTGTTCTCCCTCTGATCCAACTCCTGCCAGAATGGCTGTGAACACAGTGCTTCTGACTACTGGCCTCAGACTGGCCCAGCTCCTTTGTAGCCAATTTGGAAAAGAAAAAGCAGATGGAAGATCATTTTGTCTCTTCCCCCATCCCATCAACATAACTATTTCAAATAAGAAAGGAAACTTTTGAAATAAATTCATCTATCTCCATTAAGTTACCAATCTCCATAAATAAATAACTGATTTAGGCAACATCAACTTAGTTCAACAATAAGAAGATATCAAAGGCAATATACTTGTGCCAACACTAAGCATATGCAATGTTCATAATTTAGTACTTTGGTGTATACAGTCTCTTTATTCACTCTGTAACTATATGCTGTTAACTCAGATACCATGTCTCTTAAAAATAAGACCATGTTTTATAATTTTTTACTGTTCCATAGCTCTAGGTAAATCTACAATAAACTGACATTATAATTTAAGATGGTAGTAAAAAGATAATTTTCATGGAACTAAGTTTTTAATTTTCTCCTTAGGTTACATCTTCTATGAAATAAATTCCATACCACTATTCCATATATTACTATATTCCATATATTACTATATTCCATATATTACTATATGCAAAGTATGTAACACTTATACACACAGCAAAGAAAAACACAAAAATGTTAAAAAATTAACTTACTTGATCACTGAGAACAGAGTTCTAAAAAGCTGAATAAAAATTTCATTGCAATCTTCCAAATCAAAGCAGATGTTGTATGATTTAACCCAAGCTAAGTTCTTTAAAAAAAAAAGTTACACAAAAGCAAATCCATTAGTAAAACTTGATTTTGAGAATTACAAATGTATATTAGGCCCTCTGACAAGCCAACATACACAACTGTGTTTCAGTACTACAACCACTTAAAAGGGCATATTTTATGGCATCAACTTTTTCAAATTGAAAAATACTAAATATTCTGTCATCGGCAGATACACCTTAAAATATAAGGAGCAATGAAAAATATATATTTAGATTAGAGAAAAATGATGAAAGTAAAAGCTTTAATTTCAATAATCTATAGAATTTTTTTTTTAAAGAATGAGGAACAATAAAGATTTCCTTGTCCTTTGGAAACATAAAGAGGATCTTATAAGTGGGTTTTGTATACAATGAGGTTTTATCTTACGTTACGAAACGCAAAGAATATGCAACAAAAAAATGTGGTATTTAGTAAATAAAGTATGGAATTTTTTACCTCTAATAAATAAAAGTATCTGTTAAACTGCGGACTCTTTGTATCCTCCAAACCTTTTAATTGTCTGGTAATGAACAAAAATATATCCTGTTAAAAAATAAATAAAATATATTAATTTAGATAAATATACTTTTCAATGTTCTATAACACTAACAGTTTGCAAATATTTTATCTATAATAAATCACTACAATAAAAGAAAATTCTCCTTTATGTTCAAGTCTGAGGCCTAATCCATTTTTCAATTCTCATAATCTTTGAAATCAAAAGAGATGGGTCTTGTGGTTTAATCAGTGAAGTCACTGCTTGGGATGACTAAACCCCACTGGAACGCAGCTTCAAGTCCTAGCTTGGTCTCTTCCAATCCAGGGGGAGGCAGCAGATGACGGCTCAAGTACCTGGGATCCTTTCACTCACAAGAGAGACCTAGGTGAGCTCCTCCCTCACGGCTTTTGCCTGGCCCAGCCCTGACTGCGGTGTGCATCTGGGGCGGGAACCAGGGCTTCCTATCCCAACCCCTCTACCTCTCAGTCTTTAAAATAAATGAATCTAAAAACTTGTGATTTCTACAAATATTTAAGCATTTTCTTTCAAAAAGGACATGGGGTTCTGTATCTACTATATTACCTTTGCTTCCACTTCACTATCTTCACCCTGCACTGTGGCAAACAATTATCCTCATTTTTAAAAGCTGGATGTGCATCTTTCCATCCCTAGATCTTACACGTAACTCATCATTTTCAGCATTTAGTTATGGATTTTATGTGGGACCCTAAGGTTGTGTGAAACAGAAAGATATTGGCCCAAGAGTCATATTTTTTAAAATTACAGTTCTGTTTCTTAATAAGCTGTATTTAGATGGATTAAAAATAGTATTAATTTGGTATAAAATGATTTCTGAACTATTACAGTCTCCCGGTTTGGAATGAAAAAATTCCCAGACCCTCTAATGGATGCCTGAAACTGCAGACAGTATTGAATCCTATACTTTCACTTTTTTCTGTACATACCAAAATTCATAAATCAGGAATATCAGGAGATTAACAATAATAATAAATTGTAATAACTTTGTACTCCTTGTCACCATTATGAAGTAATAAGGACTACTTAGACACAAGAACTGAAATATTTCATAGCCAACATAACTAAGATAACTACTAAGCACAATGAACTTAAAATTTCTATCTAGAAATTTACATTTAGTACTTTCAGAGAGCAGGTACCTGAAACGATAGCATGCAAAACCATTGAAAAAGGCAACAGACAATTGTGTTTAAAAGAGTTAGGGTCATAAATAGCAAATATACACACAAAAAAAGTTTTAGAAAACTAACAAAAAAAGAGTTAGGGTCACCGTGGTGTACCAGGTTTAGTTGTCCAGTGTGACACTGGCATCTCATACAAGCACCAGCTCGCTGTTCCACTTCTAAGTGGCCTGGGGAAAGCAAAAGATGGCCCAAGTACTTCGGTTCTTCCTTCCTTTCTATTACTCTTTCAAATAAACAAATACATCTTTAAAAAGCAAGCAAACAAGTCAAGGATAAACAGACACAGGCTAGCAGTTAAAATGCCGTGTAAGATACTTGCATACTGCACTGGAGTGCCTGGCTTTGTTGTCAGTATCCAGCTCCTGTCACCAGCCTTCTGCTCATGTAAAAGCTATGGCACAGCAGTGACAGCTCAAGTAAGTAGGTCCCTGTTTTCCACATGGGAAACCTGTACTGAGTTCCCAACTCCAGCTTCATTCTTACTTAGCCCATCCCCAGCAGGGATTTGAAAAGTGAAACAGCAGACAGCAGCGCTCTCTGTGTGTATCGTTCTGCCTCTCAAATAAATGGAAGTTTAAAACAAAATGAACAAAAAAAGCAGCCAAAAATATTAATATTTGTAAAAAGTAAGAGAACTAGATATGACATCAGCCAAAAAGAAGATTATTTCTCACTTAGCATAAAGGCAAAATCACCGTAAGAATCTAGTTTGCATGCTGAGTAACTTGCAAGAGAAACAGTGTAAGTTTTTTGTTATATTACTACTTTAAACACTGTTGCATTCACTATGTATCCCTGGAATAGTCACCTGAACCTTGTGATGGATTAGCCTAGGGCTAAGGCAGGGCAGAGATTTCACTTTGATAAACACCTTTCAGTTCTTTATAACAATGTCAAGGCATTTTTGTTGATACTCAATAAATATTAACGGAATACTTAGTTTTACAACTTATGACAATCTTAAAATGGTAAGAGTAATTCACAACCTATATTTGTAATCATAACCTATAAAAACAAAAGCAACATTACTTTGAAAAGATTATATTTACCTTAAGTTTATCATGAGAAGTATATGGAGCTTCTGGGGCATAGATTCGAAAGATATCAGCCAGACAACATGCTACAAGCAGACGCACATCTTTATTGGGGTTCCTGAGGAAGAATTCAGATGCAAGATGCAAGGCTAATGGGAGATACTGCTGCTTCTCATCTTCTGAATCCTGATCCATATCCATAAAGGTTTTTACTACCATCTGGAAAGATGCATACAAGAACAATATAACTAATTCCTAGTACTCAAAAAGCAGTAGAATACATACATTTATCATCTCCATTTTTATACAGACTAGCAGTTACTATTCAAAAGTTTCCCAAACACCTAAGAAATCTTCATTTACAAATTTGGGGGAAAATAGTAAGCATGAAGTGTATACTCTGAATCAAATCTGTAAGTATCAGATATTGGAGACCATCACAATAGCCTAGTGGTTAAATCCTCACCTTGCATGCACTGAGATCCCATATGGGCACCAGTTCCATTCCTGGCTGCACCACTTCCCTTCCAGCTCCCTGCCTGTGCTGTGGCCTAGGAAAGCGGTGGAGGACAGCCCAAAGTCTTGGGACCCTGCAACCATGTGGGAGACCCAGAAGAACCTCCTGGCTTCTGGCTTCAGATCAGCCCACCTCTGGTCCGTGCTGCCACTTGTGGAGTAAGTCAGCAGACTGAAAATTTTTCTGACTCCTTTTCTCTGTAATTCTGACTTTCCAATTGAAAAAATAAATAAATCTTTAAAAATATATATAAACTTTTGGACTACTCATAGACATTTCACCTGTATTAGCTCCAGATTTATGCATCTCGTTTCGAGTTACCAGTCACTGGTCCCTTGTATACAACTAAACTCAACTGATACTTAACATCATTAATTATGCTTTACTTCATTTTTATACTCCTAACTGGCTTATTCAGGTTCCTTGAACCTGCTAGCTCATTTCACAATTTAATGGGTCTTGTATCTCACAAACCCAGGTATAATGTAATTTTAATGTAACTGTTATGTCTGACTAAAAGCTTTAATTATAGGGGCCAGCATTGTGGTGCAACAGGTTAAGCTGCCACCTACAATGCCACCATTCCATAAAGGGCATTAGTTCTAGTCCCAGCAGCTACAGTTCTCATCTGATTGCATACCAACATGCCGAAGAAGGCCGCAGAGATGGTCCAAGAACTAGGGCCCCTTGAACACATGAGGGAACTTGATGCAAATCTAGGCTCCTGGCTTCAGCCTGGCCCAGCCCCCAGTATTGAGGCCATTTGTAGAGTGATGAGTAGAAGACCGATTCTTTCAAACAAACAACAAATTAAAAAAAAAAAAGGCACTTTAACTATAACTTCTGTTGCTGTTTATGGTTAGATAATTAAATGTTAACTTGTTAACATCCAGGTAAGTCAATGCGAAGGGCTCAAGAAGTTGGGCCATCTTTCATTGACTACTTCCTGACAGGTTAGTAGGAAGGGAAGCTAAACTAGAAATGAAGCAGAGAAAATTCAAACCGATGCTGCTACAGATGTCAGTTCACAAGCAGTGGTTTACCCGCCTGCGCTACAATACTGCCCCATAATACATTATTCACAGGTATTCCACAGTAATACCTTCATACCTTCAAAAATTCTTCTCTAATCATATTTTAATATGCCATGAAGTCAAATACTGAAGCTATACTTCCATTTCCCCAAGTTTTAAAATCATGAATGAAATGTGAAATTTTATCACGTATTTTGACATTTTCTCCTGAATTTTTCAATGCAGTAAATTCCATTATTTGATTTTTTTTTTTAACTTTATTCTCTTTTGGATTTCAGGAAGAACAAACAGAAAGAGCCAGACTCAGACATAGTGAACATTTCCTACCTACTATTTGACTTTTCAAACGTCCCCAACAAACAGGACTGGGTCAAAGCCAAGAGGCAAGAAATGCACCACATCTGGCAGAGATTAATACGGGTGGCAGATTAAATACTTTAGTCAGAAAGCTGGCTTGGACAGGGCACAGGGACCTAATTCAGGTACTCCAGAGAAGCAGTGTGGCATACAAGTAGCAGCATAATCAATTGTCCCCACTAACTTTTTAAAAAAGATTTTATTTGATTTTTGTTGCAAGGCAAATACAGAGAGAAGGGGATAGAGAGGAAGATTTTCCTACTGCTGGTTCACTCCCCAAGTGGCAGCAACAGCTGGAGCAGAGCCAACCCGAAGCCAGAAGCCAGGGAGCTTCTTCCTCCAGGTATCCCACACAGGTACAGGGTCCCAAGGCTTTGAGCCATCCTCAACTGCTTTCTCAGGTGACCAGCAGGGAGCTGAATGGGAGGTGGAGCAGCCAGGATTAGAACTGGAGCCCATATGGGATATCCAAGTTTGTAGAAAAACAGTTTAACTCCAAGTTCACATTCCTAAAACAAAGTTGATTTAGTCATAATACTTTCATATAGCCCTGCGTTTTACTTATCAATATGATGTTTCCTTTTGAAATAATTTGCACATACAAATGCTATTGGGCCCGGCACCATGGCCTAACGGCTCAAGTCCGCGCCTTAAACATGCCGGGATCCCATATGGGCACCGGCTCTAATCCCGGCAGCCCCACTTCCCATACAGCTCCCTGCCTGTGGCCTGGGAAAGCAGTTGAGGACAGCCCAAAGGCTTAGGACCCTGCACCCACGATGGAGACCCAGAAGCAGCTCCCTGGCTCCTGGCTTCGGATTGGCATAGCACTGACCGTTGCAACCACTTGCAGAGTGAATCATCGGACGCGAGACATTTCTTTGTCTCTCCTCCTCTCTGTATGTATCTGACTTTGCAATAAAAATAAATAAATCTTTTTTAAAAAACAACAATATACATGCTGCTGAAATGCACACTTAAATGTTAAAGTACTAAGTTTGTGCTTTGTACATCTTACAGAATTTTTAAAACCAGCAACTGGAAGATATTTCTCTGTGGGTGTGTAAATATGCCTTCCAAATAAAAAATAGTAAATCAAACAAATTACAAGGTAGAAAAAGGAATGACAATCTAATGAAATCCTCAAGAAAGCCTCTGAGTTCATGATACCCATGTTTGTTTCATTTGTACAGCAGATACGCACACTGCGAGTTCACTTCACCCAACCAGTGGGTTCACTCTCCCAGTGTTTGCAATGGCTGGGGCGATATGGCTGGGAAGCAGAACCACAACCTAGGTCTCCCGTGTGGGGAACAGGAACCCCCAACGCTGTGGCCCAGGCTCTGCAGGAGCGGGAAGCTGAGCTGCCGGGCAGGAGCAGCACCCATTAAGCAAACACTGGCATATGAAGTGGGATGCAGGCACTTTCTCGTTTAAGATTTATTTATTTATTTTAAAAGGCAGACTCAAAGTGAGAGAGACAGAGGGAGAGACAGAAGGAGAAAGAGAAAGCGAAAGAGATTTTCAATCCACTGAGTAATCCTCCAAATGCTTCAATGACCTGAGCTGGGATAGTACAGGGCCAGGAGCTTAGAGTTCCTTCCAGGCCTCTCATGTGGGTGCAGGAGCTCAAGCACTTGGGCCATCTTTGACAGCTTTTCCAGGTCATTAATAGGGAACTGGATCAGGTCGTGGAGCAACCAGGATGCAATCAGTACCCATACGAGATAACAGCACTACAGGCAACTACTTAACATATCATACTGCCACCCCATCCCCTACTGATGCAAGCCTCTTAACCACTAGGTTAAATGTCTGCTCCATGACCACTGATACAGACATGAAGTCAACCATACCACATACATGCTGCTGTCAGCAACTGCATCACACCTGTGAAGCTGGGCTGATTGCTGGGATAACTTCCAAGACAAGTGGATCACTGATGACTATCCTGTGAGTGATCTTTATCAAGGGCAATCATACCACTAAAGAATATACATGAGAAGTGCTTAACATGATACGGACATACACACAAAGCAAACACTTAACCTATGGGAAGTACAAAAAAAAAGAAAAAAAAAAAAAAAAAACAGCAACCTCATTCTGTTTGGAGCAGAAAAGGTAATGACAAGTGCCCAACAATGATCCTTCGAACTACTAATTTTTTTTAACTTTTTTATTTTGGCAATCTTTACATTGCTGATAAGGGTAAAAAGTTACAAGGGCTAAAGGGAACATTGAGGAGAAGCCCCACCCAGTCTCTCACGGACCCCAGGACCTGGATGTAGGGCACGCCCCGAGATCCCTGCTTAAGTGGTTCCGGTAGTTCACCAGTTATGCATTGCTGTCAATCTTGCCACTCCAGACACGATGAGGCTGTTGCATAATCCACTGATTGACATAGTCCATCATGGAGTCTCCTCCTGTCCAGTATTTCATGGCCAACATACAGCTGTGGTGGTTGATTGACCCGTTCCATCTTCCATCTTTTCTTGGTCAAGGTTCTGAGTCTGCCATTTCGGTTGAGGGGATCCGCAAAGATATTCCCATAACACATTCCTATATGTACTAGTAAGCACAGGACCTGACACAGTCCATCTCCCCAACTAGCTGGTGGTTGCAATTGCTGGGTTGGCTCCAACTTCAGCCCTCACTTCCACTGGAACCAATGGGTACCTCAGTCCATCCTGGCTTTGCTCATCACACACTCGGCCATCACACTAACCAGTGGGAGCTGCAGCCTAGTCAGAGCAACCCCCAATAACCCCCACCAGGCCCGCTCCTGCCCTTACCTGCCAGAATGTGAAGCTGACTAGTTCAGTCTGCCCCACATCCCACCCAGCTCTCGTAAATGTTGAAGGTCATTGGAGCTTGGCTCCATCCAACCAGCGCAACTGTCCAACCCTCACGGATGTTGTTGAGTGCCTCTCTGTCTAGCCACCCCAGCCCCTATCCCAGTTGTTCTGTGCTCTCCCATGGGAATGGTAACCCAAGAGGGAGGAGTCCTCTACCTCCCTCCCAGGTCATTCCCACTCCCAAATTATGCTCCTTCCAGGTGACCCTGTGGTTGGACTCGACAATATTATGCCCCAGTGCCAGCTTCTGCTACGGTCAAGTCCCGAAAGCTCTCACCCCCTCTAGTTTTGCTAGTACTAGTAGGAATAGTCTGCGCATCCTGGCACTTTCCTGATCTGGTCCACATGAGGCGCACAGGTATTGCAGCCCTGCCCAGTCCGGTCCATCCCCATCCCAGCCCATGCTCTCCAGTGGGAGCAGCCATCCAGCAAGTGAACCATCCACTGCTCCCCTGT